TTATTCTCCCAATCAATTACTAACCAAAACCTCATGCTTTATGCAAAACATTAAATTATTTTCAGCATACCAATCTTTACAGAAAACATAAAAGCCCTAAAAAACTGCACATAAAATATATTTAAAAAACAATATTCACTTATAGGTTTGGCCATCATTTGATTTTGAACGATTCAGATTCCAATTCCAATTCCTTGTTTCAATTCCGGTTCCTATTGATTCCCGATTCCGATTCTTTGAAGACATGACATGTTTTACACAAGCTAGCTAACCACAGGTCCTACTTGATGAAATAATCTTAACTTCAACATGAATTTTAATTCTATGAGCAACAACATCACCTTCATTTAGACAAAAACATGTTTTGGAGAAAAAAAAGAAAAAGACTTGCAGCACAACCAGTGTGTCTGTTTCTGACCACAACCAAGGTCTGGAAGAAGCCGCTGGGATGAGAGGCTAAATGTCTCTAACATATCCAGAAACATCCAGCTGTTTTCAGCTAAAACTCTCAGGATGATCATGTCCAGGATGACTGAGAACTACACCTCCACGCTGCAGCAGCATTCAGTCAGAACAGAAACTTAAATGTAGCTGCTGTCAGTAACAATCTAACAGATTTTAAACATTAAAACTCTCAACAGAAATAGTTCAGAGAGGAAATTAAAGTTTTCACAACTTTGTGTGTGATTTTTTATAATAATAATAATAATAATATTTTTTAATTATGGCAGAAGCTGGTGTGGTCCACCACAGAGAAGCTTCTCTAGCATGATGACTTTAATTATTCTACAGGTTATTGTTCAGCCTTCTGACGCTCACACACACACACACACACACACACACACACACACACACACACACACACACACACACACACACACACACACACACGGGTGTTGGTGAGCGGCTGCGTCTGACTGCTAGCGCTCCATGTGTGTTTTTATTTCTGCAGTGAGACAAACTCACCTCACACCGTCCAGAGTTTGTTCTTTAAAGCTTCTAGTAAATCCACTGTGTTGACGTATTTTAACAAGTTTCTTCTATGCTGCAGGAGTTAAAGTTTAAGTTACGGAGTAAAAGTTCAGCAGACGCGTTTGTTTATATCTGGGTGGAGGGAGGGGGGACTCGGTGCTGCACACAGACAGCTGGTGTGATCAGTTCTGAAAAGTGTTGATCACAATTTGCAGATCACGTTTATTTTTCACGGAGATCTGCCGCAGATTCCTCTTCCGGTCGGCATTCTAGGAATCGAAACTAGGAATAGAAATAAAAAACTTTGAACGATTCCGGGAAAAAATAACAGCTGGAACCGGTTCCAATCGATGCTCGATGCCCAACCCTAACTTATCACTTAGCAGTGGTTCCCAAATTTTTCAGCCTGACCAACAGATGTTCTTTTGTATTTTTAGGTTATTTTGAAATTTTCATTATATTTGTAAAGTTTTAACTTATATATAAAGCTTTTTCAAAATTTTATATTTCACTTTTATTATGATTATGTGGCACACTTTGACTTCCATACATAACGCATCTGCCTCTTTTTTACGGCTTTTTTTTTTACATTGTTGCTACGTCTATCACATTAGCAGTGTTTTTACCATCATTTCTACATCCATCATGTGCCAAAGAAGGTTAAACAAACATTAAACTCAACATTTGGAGCTTGTAAACTCCACACACCTGTCGTGCAGCACCAGCTGTCTGATGCTGCAGCAGCGTCAATCTTCCCGGCTAGATGAGTGAATTTCTTCATCAGAGTCAATATTCTGCTTCATAATCAGAGTCAGTCATGACCAGACAAAGTGATCAGTCAACAAAGACCAGACCTGCCAGCAATTATACATTTTATCTCATATTTGCGCTCTTCATGTTGCGCGCATCTCCTCCTCTTCCCGACTGGGATCCTCTCGGCGGGAGGCGATTTTCAAGCTCTAAAAACTCCCAAACTTTGCTCAGCCTGAAGGTTCCACATCTCCACTATCTTCTGGTGTAAAGTAGTAACTTCATGAGGGATCATATTTGTAGATGAGACTCGTTAAAGTCAACAATGAGGCTTTGGCGCTTTTAACGAGTAAGTACCAACACTGACAACAAAGTACTGAAACTAGAACCAACATGCATAAACAGACAGATCGGTCCCGCCTACTTACACTGTTGGTCTTTTTTAAATACGCAGTAATTGTTGCTTGCCTTTTTCGCTTCATCCTGCATCCTAGCAGCAACCACATTGGCGCCTCTGGAGTCGGTGTTTGTTTACCTCATGCTGCATTCAATGTAATTGGAAAAAGGAGCTTCAAGCGCTTAACCTCTGATTTTGTTTTCTTTCTGGCCGTAGTTTTGGGGGACAGATCGGGGTCGATCTGAATCTGGGGGGGACAGATCTCCCCCATTCCCCACCCTAATTGCGCACCTGTTCCTACCTACCTTAAAGGCCAAGTTTCCCAGTATCATGTTTAAGCCTCTGGTATGGAATACACTGACTACTGGATGAAATGCTGCTCGTAGATCTAACAGGACCAGTATAGCACCATCCCTCAAACATAAAATTATCTTTGGGAAAAATCCCATGCATCCTTTTTTATCATCACCAAGATAAAGAGATTGTCTAGTGTTCAGTAATCACCATAGAAACCACATTCTTCCTCTTATTTCAGGGGTTTGACTGACTAAGTTATTGAACAAAAGCCTTGAACGGATTCTGTTAGAGATTGACATTCCCATCAGAAATGTGTATCTCTAAAATAAAACAGCAATGAAAGTACTCCTCAGTTGTCTTGTCATCCAGTCTTTCTGATCAGTTGGATTTTTCATCAAAACTAGACTCTTCATTGATTCTTCGACTCTTCAACCTGGTTCGAACACTGAGGGGAGAAGTGGAACCAGTACATTTATCCCTCACTTGTTAGTCAGAAACTTCTCAGTATTCCACAGTTTTGCTGACCAATAACTCCAAGCCAGAAGGATCTTAGTGCTTATTTCCTGCCAGCTGGGTCTTCACAGATCAGTGCACTAGTGTTTTGAAGTGGTTTTTGTGTGTGTGTGTGTGTGTGTGTGTGTGTGTGTGTGTGTGTGTGTGTGTGTGTGTGTGTGTGTGTGTGTGTGTGTGTGTGTGTGTGTGTGTGTGTGTGTGTGTGCGCGCGCGTGTGTGTGTGTGTGTGTGTGTGAGTGAGTGGGTGGTCATAAATATCCTGTGTAATTAGAGGTTTATTTATTGATCTGACTTCACAGAATGACTCATCGGTGTGTGCGTGTGAGCACATGCATGTATGTATGTGTGTGTGTGTGTGTGTGTGTGTGAGAGAGAGAGAGAGAGAGAGAGAGAGAGAGAACCCAGCTGGAGTTTTGTCTCACTCCACCATCATCATCATCATCATCATTATCATCATTGTTATCATCATCTCGAACTCTCCTTGCTGTATCTACTCTGATGTCACCAACCATCTGGTATTTGATTGGCTTCTGTTTGGTAAACACTGACTCAGATGACTTGAGCAGCAAATGATCAGTTGTTGAATCAGTAATTGAACCCCATTGTTGTATTTGATCAGGGAGTTGGATGGGAACCAGCAAAGTCCAGTTCTATGGTTGCCGTGGTAACAGAAACTCACAGATGGTGTGTCTTGATTTGTCAGTGATGAGTGTGGGAGTTTAACACCAAAATGTGTTTCTGTAAGTGTGTGTTGTGTTGCTGCGTTCTTGCAGCAAAACATTAAAGAACCAAATGAAAAACACAACAAAGCTGCCTTCTCCAGGTGAACCAGTGGAATGTACAGTTTGCAGACAGAAAACAAACCACCTCTCTGTCCGTTTTACCAGACACTGAGATCTATAGGTAACAGCAAACTTGTTTTTTTTTTCTTTGTTTTTTTTTGTCTGTAGAAGCATAACTGTTTAATTTCTAACCAACTTTCTTGTACACTTCTGTTACATTTTTCCAACGCAGAAACGGAGGTGAAAAAAGTTTACTTGGTCAAAGTTATTGTGTTCAAAAAACTTTGACCACCACCTGCCTGGTGGGGTCTGGGTCACTGGGCTCTGCTGGGTCCCTGGCGAGGCTGGTCGCACCTGGGTCCCGGGTCGCTGGGTTCCGTGCTCGGCAGGCTGGGGGGTGGGAGGTTGCGGGCGGGCCTGTGGGCTTGCCACTGATATCTCCGGGGGCTCTGCCGGCTGCTGGTTGTGGCCCCCTGGGGCAATCCTCTGTGCCTCTCGAGGAGTGCAGGGGCTTTTCTGGTTGTAGTCTCCCTGGGGTCCCTGTGCTCTGGGGCAGCTTCTGGATCTCTGGGACTTGGAGCTCCTTCCATCTCCTACACATCTTTGGGGGGCGGATCTGTGGCCCCTCACACTCACTATTGGACGCTCCTATAGAGAAACCTTACCTCTGCAAGTGCGTGCACACACACACAGGTGCTCACATGGTGCTCTCACAAGTATGGACTTGGGCATTTTCAACACGTCTTAAGGCTGTGGTTGGCACTAAATGCGCTGTGATTTATTATTGTGATTGTTCAGTAAAACAATGTTGATTTTATATTTTCTCATCAGGTTGACGCAGTGATAGCTTGCTCCTGTTGTATTGTTGTGTGCCCCTTTTCTGCAGGTCTAAAAGCAGATTCCTGTTCATCATTGATTGTTTATCTTCCTTCCTTTTGTCTCTTCCTTTCTCTTTCACCTCTGTCTCCGTGTCTGGTCGGAATTACAAAGCATTCAAAAAACAATAACAATAAAGTTTTAAGTATCAGGCGTGACATTAACAGCAGAAGCATTGATGCTCTACCTGAGAGTAAATCTGTAAGGCTTGTCACCAGCATTCAGACATTAATTATGTTTGCTTCACAGCCAGACAGGACACGGTAAAAATATATATATATATATTGTTCCAGACTCAGCATCCACTTTGCAACCAACATGTTTGTTCTCACAGAAAAGTCTTCACTGCCACCTTATGGCCAAAACCAGCAACATTTTAACAAGCTTTATCATTTTTTTGTGTTTGTGTTCAGATCGTGTCTATAGAGAGTGCCAGTCCAATGGTACCTGGGCCCCTCGAGGAAACTACAGTCAGTGCACCGAGATCATTATCCTGGTGAGACTGTCCAGGGTGTACCCCGCCTGATTGCCCATTGACCGCTGGAGATAGGCACCAGCCCCACGACCCCACGGCGACACACACACACATACACAGCATTTGGTCAAAACAAACCAAACAAATATGTATGTATACAAACAAACACATAAAATATATACACATACATCCATACATACCTAAATTTGTTTGTTTGTTTTGATCAAATTTTGGAAAGAAGTCCTCAAAAACTACTAAAAAGTCATGTTGGTCTCATAAACCATGAGTACGTGTGTGCGTGTGTGTGAATATGTGCGCGTGCGTGTGCTTGTGTGTGTGTGTATGTCTTCTCTCTATCCCACTGAGCCACGCTGTTTCATCATTCCTCTTGTCTTCTGATTGGATGAGATAACTGGCTGTTGGCCATTTAGTGATTTGTGATTCAGATGACAGAAGGATAACAGAAAGAGAAATAGATGTCCTCACCTAGTGGAGCTCATTTTCATTAAAAAAAACCAAACATGTTTAGTAAAAGTTCTTTTTTATTGTTGATTAATTGTTTTTCAGGTATTTATCCCCTTTCAGCTATGATTTAGTAAAATTCTTAAGATTAAAATTTTTGTTTTTTGTTTTTATTTCAAACATTAACAATTAAAAAATTAAGTAAATGGAGGTAGGTTGAAGTATTCACTTTTAAGGCCCTACCCTCTTTACATATTTAGTGTTTCAAAAGAGAAAAAAAATCAATTTAAACTAAGAGTATCAATTCATTCTTTAACAAATTTACACCTTTATATTTAAAAATAATAAAGAACATGGAAAGGAAAATATATATATAACAACGTCACTGCTGCAACTGTGCATTCCAACAAAGCAAGGCTCTTATTTATACAGCATCAATAATTTATAAACTTTTCTAGGAATTTTACTGCTCTTCATTTCTATATGAATTAAAAATGTGTTCTTTGAATTTTATTTTAAATTGGCTGATGTTCTTACTTTGCTTTGTGTCATCTGTTAGACCATTCCATATTTTAATACCTGCCACTGAGATACACCAGCTTTTTAATGTTGTTCTGAAAGCATGTGTTTTAAAATTCAAATGGGCTCTTAGGTTGTACCCTCCATCCTTTACATGAACCAGTTTCATTATTTTTTGGGGAAGTTGGTTGTTTTTTGCCTTATACAGTATTTGTGCTGTTTTAAATTGAACCAGATCTGGAAATTTCAGTAATATGGTCTTTATAAATAGTTCATTAGCATGATCTTTGTATCCTGCTTGATTTATTAATCTAATAGGTATGAAAGTGAAACATCTTTCAAAATTAAGCAGTCCAATTGTCTACTTTCCCATGTGACCAAAACCCCAGTCAGGTTAAAGTTTAGATTATCATTTCCTAATTAAAACTAAGTGAATAAAGTGATTTATTTATTTAATGACCAATTAGTTTGCTGATCCACTTACTTACAAGCTGCGACAGATTATATGTATAATTAAACTAATTTCATTTAAATAAACATGAGTTATACCTGACAGATATGATGGGGAAGAATGGAACATCCTAGTGATAAACCTCTGTCATGTTCATTGGTACTCAAATGTATACTGTATGTAAATATTCAACCAACAGCCTAATCCCCAGCGAGAAACTGAAATCAGAAATGAAATAGATGACTGATTTATGTAATATAAATAACTGATCTTGCTTTGTTGTAACATATTAAAAATGAATACATGTAATACTGTTATAAAAACATTAAACAGGAGCTTGTTGAAGGTTCATCAGTAATTTTTTATAAAAAAAACTTTGACACTTTAAATTTAATGATAGAAATAAACGAGTCATTTTTCAACTAATTGTAGCAGTGAATCGCCAAAACCCATGTCCTGGTTTTTTGTCATGTGACCTGAAGAACTCAAATTACCAGGGATGTTTCTCAATGGCAAGGCGATGTCTTACGAGGTCCTTCCTTGGTCAAAGAAAATGGTTAAATGGAACAGACTTGCATCATGTGACCGCCGCAATCACGTAATGTCACATGACACGGAAGATAACGTTATATTTTATATGTATATGTTTCAATATAAATATATAATGAGCCTTTTACTTTTTAAATTGTGTATACATACTGGTTAATATAAATAAGTAAGCAAGATACTACCTGCTAGCCACTGAAGCTCCAACTACTAAGAAACTAACCAGTCATAGATAACTGCTTTGGATTTTAAAAAAAATTCAGATATCAACCTGATAGCTACAATTAGTTGACTTACATTTAAACTCAGAATTTGCCCCCAAAGTAGGTGTCGGCTTCTGATGCGCCATACTTTTGAAAATACTGCATTGTACTCTGGGAAATTTTTGATCAAAGCTAGGCTACAGGACACTGCCTGTGTAGCTTGCTTAGCTTGCTAAACATCTAACAAACAGAGAACACATGCCTCGGTAGAACATGAACATTGGAGCAAGCTTTGACGGCTCCAGATGACGTATTTTCTAGGCGGGGCCAAGACATCAATGCAAGGTTCCTTGGCATTGAGAAACGCCCCAGGACACTGTGATCAATCATCAGCTTCAGGGAACCTGAACATGAACATATATACCCCTGAACCAGGGGTATATATGTCAATGAGAGAACCTTGTCTGAGAACAGCGGAGTCTGAAGGTCTGAAAACCGTGGGAGTCAACCCTTTCAGGAAGCTGTGTTGGTGTTTGGGGTGTTAAGGATGTTTTCTTCATTTCTGTGTTTTCAGAAGAAGAGTAAAGTCCACTATCAGGTGGTCCTCATCATCAACTACCTGGGTCACTGCATCTCCCTGGGAGCTCTGCTACTTGCCTTCCTGCTATTCATGAGACTCAGGTAAGTCACATTCGACACTTTCTGTTCGCCTCAGCAGACTCAGTCATCAGTTAAAACCGCAATAGCAAATTGGCTTAAAATATTTGTTCATGCCTCTTCACAACATTGTAACATAGTATAGCTATAAATATACTGTGTCACTTAAATAAAACGGAAAACAAAACGTTATGTAGTTCTCTCGCTACGATCTAAAAACCTACATCAATACCACTTTTTGGACCGAAAGCAACCATTGGACCATCCAGTTGCTGAACCACACTTCCCTGGATCCTCCACCATTGCACACGCGCATATATAGCAACAGACACCACTGGTGTGAGAGGTTCTCCTCACAATAATATCAGAAAAGGAGAGAAGGACAAACTACCAGAGTCCCAAGAAGAGAAACACCATTTGAAGTTATGGACAACAAAAGAAGTTTGGACCTAGAAAACAGCCACTGGTGTTTAGCACTCCCCAGGTTTTCTTTGGCAATGCGGGTTTCCGGATCTGGCAGAATCGTCTCAGAGAAGATACCCGAAGGGTGATGAGTGTTCTGTGACCGTGTTTGCATTAAAAAAAAACTTCTGTAGATTTACTATAACAGTTTGAATACCCAATCAGAAAGTAATTTTTTCATAGAACCAGCATTTGTTGATAGGGCTAGATTTTTACCGGGGTAAAATAAAACATTTGCTGAATCAAGAAGCATTGTTTATTCTGTTTTCATCACTGGTAATGCCATACTTGAGTTACTGTGTGGAAGTTTGGGGAAACACATACTTGAGTAATCTACAATCACTATCCATACTGCAAAAACGAGCAATAAGGATAGTATATAATGTGGGATATAGGGAACACACAACAACACTGTATTTAAAATTACAAGTGTTAAAATTTATTGATCTGATAAAGTTTAAAATCGCAGTAATCATGCTTAAGGCAAGAAATAAATTACTTCCATGTAATATACAGAAAATGTTTAATGATGAAGATGATGGGTACAGTTTAAGAGGGGCATTAAACTTCAAAAAACAGAGAGTTTGGACAACAAAGAGGAGTATGTGTACAACAATATGTGGGGTTGAATTATGGAATAATTTGAGTGAAGATTTGAAAAAATGTGTAAAGGTAAATCCATTTAAGAAGAGCTACATAAAACATCTATTGGATGTTGATGAGCTGGGTTAAATAGAATTATACAAGAAGTTTATTGAGTATGTTTAATCTATGTGTTCTCTGTATTATTGTTATTTTTATATAGATATGTTTCTTAATTTTTAAATTTTGTTTTAGAGATAAGTTGAATAAGAATAAGTGAGAAGGGGGTAGGAATGTACACGTTTTACTTCTAACTACTCCTTTTCGGACTTTATTATTTGATTGCTTTCGTGTCGAGTTGTGTTGTATAAATTATTTTTTTTTACGTTAGTTCGAAATAAAGTACAAGTCGAGTCAAGACCCCTTTCTCTTTGAGGGGTTCGTTCAGGGCCCAGCAGCCGCCTCGGAGAATACCGAGGAGTTATGGTGCATTCTATTTACGTTGGAAGTCATAACTGGGAATGGTTTCACACCCGAGTTGCCCGCATTCTGGGAATCATAGTCAGAGAAGTCAGGATTCCAACATGGTGACGCACACCTCCCAAGTAGCCATTGTTTGTAGATTCCTCTTCGTAACATAGCTTTAAGCTGTACGATCAAGATGCAAACAAAACTTTTAGTATGATCAGCTTAGTTGAAAGAAGTGGCAAGCACGACATGCAACATTGGTTTTAAATGCGCTCTTAAAAGTCTGTTTGGTAAAGTAAACGCATTTCACCCAAAAAGTTACGGTTAGAGTTGCCATTTTGGATGTTGAGGTCAGAGTTCTGAAATTTTTCAGTTTCCAACTGGGAGGTCTGACTTTGTGGGGCATTTCATTTGATTTTTCCTACTCGGAAGTCGGGATTTACGAGTTCCGAGAACAAATCAAACGCACCCCAAACTGTCTTGACTCGTTCTCATCGGACAAAACTGTTCAATTCAAAATGTTTACATAGATGAACTGTTGAAAAATGCTTGTCTAATCATGTGACAGGAGTATTCGCTGTCTGAGGAACATCATTCACTGGAATCTGATCTCAGCATTCATCTTGAGGAATGCCACCTGGTTCATTGTCCAACTCACCATGAATCCTTCTGTTACTGAAAGCAACCAGGTGACACACACACACACACACACACACACACACACACACACACACACACACACACACACACACACACACACACACACAGATAATGCTGATAATCCTGGAGATGGGGTGGGTGATGATTGGTAACGATGACCTGTGATTTGGAGCATTCAGGCAGATGAACTGAAACAATGCTTGCACCATTAGATGTTTTTTAAGAAGCTGAGATTTTTGTCTGTTTGTCCTGCACATCCACAAACACGGACTTTTAAGTGAGACACACAGAGATTCTTTAAAGCATACTAAAAGGAAAACTATATATTTTTTCACTTCTGTGCCTCCATGTTAACATGAGATGGGGAGCATTTCAGAAATTTCAGCCTGTTTAGCATCACGCTAATTTTTATTTTGTATGCTGTCAAAACAAAGACAGCAGTTATTCTGCTGTTTTCTACATTTGTCTCCTCGTCCTGTCACCATTAAACACAAATTGGACTTAGGGAACTGTATTTAGAATAAATTCCTCTGTAGAATCTCTAGCTAGGCTCAAAATGGTCTACCTCTAAAGTTTAAATTGAATAGTGGAATCACAGCCAGGGAGACAACTTTCACACAATGAACACATGAAACATGCATTTGACTTGATCTTCACACACGCTCACAAAGAGTTTGCCCAACCAGTCTACATGTGTTTTGTAGATTTGGGGAAGGAGTTTGGACATTTGGGGGCCCTGTGTGGAATACCAGGCCCTTTGATATGAGTTCTCTCTGCAGGGTGTCTGGGCTCTCATCCTTTAGATGTAGGATGAGAAGCTTGGTCATCTGGGACAAGCTCGGAGCAGATCTGTGAGGCGGCTGTGACTCGTAGTACCAATCCACCTCTCAATCTCCTGCTCCATCTTTCCACCATTCTTAAACAAGACCCTGATATACTGATTTACTTTTTGTCTGTGAAGCACTTTGTGACTTGTGTCTGTGAAAAGTGGTATATATATATAAACTTCTTCTTCTTCTCCTTTTTAAAACTTTCCTCTTTGGGCTGGAACTTGTCCCTGACCTGGAACAGGTGTTCTACCCCTTTTTGACTCAAGAGCATGGTCTCAGATTTAGGCCCTGTCCACACGTAGCCGGGGATCTGCCAAAACTTAGATATTTTTCTACGTTTTGGCCTGTCATCCACACGAAAACTGAGTTTTTTTTTTCACACGAAAACGGATCTTTTTAAAAACTCTGGCCAAAGTGAAGACCTGCGTTTTCTCCGTTTTGGGTGTCTGCGTGTGGACAGACAAAACCGGAGTTTTAAGGTCCGCAACGTCACGTTCCGCGACAAAAAAATGCTGACATCACGTGTGCGACCTGTGTTTACACTAGCCGACAGCATGGATGCCCACAGAGCTGCGCTCGCTTTATCAATTGTCCAAGCGCTTTCTGCTTGTTTGTTTTTGCAAGCGGAATTACTGCTCCTTGTGGAAGACCACAGACGAAGGACGAGGTTAAGAAAGGGGGAAGCACTGCCGCCTACAGGTCTGGCATGTCCTTAACAACGTATTTATCCGAGTACGTGTGAACAGAGTTTTTGTTTAAACGAGGTGGTGTGGATGCAAGTTTTTGGAGGGGCGGATATTCGTTTTTAAAAAAACCCGGCTACGTGTGGACTAGGCCTTAGAGGAGCTGGTTCTCAGCTCAGTGATATAATAAATGCTAATTTGTGACACATGTGCGAGTCTCCTCTGTACGATAAACATTATGTCTGTATATTGCAAGAATGTAGAGAACCTTCACAGAACTAAGTTGAAGACATTTATAAATGATGTAGGAGAACATTAGACATCGTGGTGGATCAGAGCAAAGGGCTAAAGGCCAGAGTGTCAGTTCTGTCAGAGCTCAGTGAAAGAGGACAACTTCACTGAAATCTGAAGACATTGATTCTCCGAGGACAGGAAGATGTTTGGAGGTGTAAATATTTCATGCACTTCGGAGGAGTTAATAATGAAGCAATTAAAAGAATTTCCTTCCCACACAGTTCCAGCTGGTCTGTTTCCAATGTGCTGTTCATTAGCATGAATGACTCATGCACCGATCTAGGCCTCCTCCTTCATTTGGTTGTTCTCATCTGCCAATTTCTTAAACAGCCTCCTTAACCACACCAGTACAACTACAAATCCCACAATCCTTTGGAACAGCTCTGTTCTCCTAATCTACCTCCCTTCTCTCTTCTCTTCCTCCCCTCATCCCTACCTGTTTCTTATCCTCTTTCTCTTCCTTTTCCCTTCTTACTTCTTTTCTCCTTATCCTTGTTTCTCAATCTCTTGTCCTTCCTAAATCTTCTTTTTCCTCTTTATTTGTCCTCTTCCTTTGTCCTCCTCCTCCTCCCACCTCAGGCGTGGTGCAAGCTGGTGACAGCAGCATATAATTACTTTCATGTCACCAACTTCTTCTGGATGTTCGGTGAGGGATGTTACCTTCACACTGCCGTTGTTCTCACCTACTCCACCGACAAGCTCAGGAAGTGGATGTTCATCTGCATTGGCTGGGGTTTGTTCACCTTTTCCACCTGCTCTGCCGTCTCCCTTTTCCCGCCAGTTCTGTCCTCTCACCCATCCATCCATTCTGGTCATAGGTATTCCGTTTCCTGTCATTGTGGCCTGGGCTTTTGGGAAGCTGTACTATGACAATGAGAAGTGAGTCACACAAAAACACTGAATCTATGTCTCAGTGGTCCAAGTGGAGCACAGGTTAATGCAACACATCTGTACCTGCCAGGTGTCATGTGACACCAACCTGAACTCTGCAGGTTAAGGATGTCACTGAGTTCCTGATGAAGTATGTTGAACAGAAGACTTTGTTTCATTGCAGCGGACAAAAATCCAGAATTTCATCAGTTCACAATGTCACAATCTCAATATTTGTCTGATTGATGTCTAATGGTTTCTGTGTTTTAACTGGAAGATGCTGGTTTGGAAAGAAGGCAGGTGTTTATACAGATTACATCTACCAAGGTCCGATGATCCTGGTCCTGCTGGTAAGCCCACCCTAAAGGATTAAGATCTTTTTCTTTATGTCTGTGAGATTATGACTAATCTTTATGCTGCCTTCTTGGACAAATAGTTGAACAGATTAGTTTTGACTGAACCCAGATCAATTGACTTTTATATCGGGTAACAACACTGGTCTCCTCAAAGCACTACACAAAAATTAGTGAGACAGTTTCAGATCCAGCCCAGATTTAGATCCAGCTAGATTATAATCTAGATCATGTAAACTGGAATCAGCAAATTTTATCTAATCTTCACCAACACAGCCCTTCATCCTGAGCAGAACAGTGGAGGGAAACTCTTTGAACAGAGAGTGTTTAGTTTTAATATGGGAGGGTTGAACAGGACACACTTCAACATTGTCACAAGTAAACTTCAATACAGGCTATGATTCAGTAGCTTCAATAAACATAATTTGTATAGTTAAAACAGAGAAACAGGACTGGACCCCTGAAACCATCACTATTGATGATCATTCAAAAGCAGCTGCAAGTTCTGCATTATCTTTTATTATTATCTAGGCTCCTCCCACTCAGTGGACAGGACACGCCTCAATATATCCATTTTTGATTATGTGAAAAGCTGACAGGAGTCAGGTCTTGTTCTAGTTGGATTAAAGCTCATGGTCTTTAATCAAGTGTTTGACACTAAGCCGATACACCTGTGGCGAAGCGGACAAACAGCCCACATATTGAACAGATCATCCTAATAGCATGATCAAAGCTGAAGGCAGGTGACTGTGACACAGGTTAGCATTCTGTTATCATGCTAATTATTTAACAAGAGGAACGAAACGTCCTTCAGAAATAGAACTGTGATGAACCATCTTTAGTCTGAGGAAACGGGAAAGAGACACTGATGCAGAAATGTTGGCCCTGTCAAGTTTTCAATAAAAAATAGAGAAAACCAAATCAATGGAAGCCATCCATTCATTTTCGGCCGCTTATCCGAGGTCGGGTCACGAGTGCAGTAGGCTAAGCAGGGAGCCCCAGACTTCCCTCTCCCCATCTTTTGTACTTTCTTGCTGTGTTTGTCTTCAAATTCCATTTTTGTTTTTGTTTTTTTAAACACAGATAAGGTTTTTCTTTACCTTGCTGACATTTCGTTTGCGGTTGCAAACATCTTCAGAGCTGACACGGATGGTGGCGTCACTTCCTACTCAGTTTATCCGTGGGCAGCAGAGGATGTTGTCGCCTTCTGCTGCCTGCTCTCCCCTCTCCCCAGCCACTTGGCTGGATTCTCATCCCAGCTGCTTCACACTCGGCTGCGAACCGCTCCAATGAGAGCTGGAGATTACTGGCAGCAACAACAGTAAATAAAACATGGAGAGTAAAGGCAGCAAAATGAATAAATGTGGTCAGTCTGTCCTCCAGCAGCATAACTAAAGGGATTAGAATATAAATACAGACACCTTCTGAAAACTGATTAATGAGCTGCAGCACAGCCCGGACCAACATACATTTCTGCCATTTTGAAAAACTAGAATTTAAAAAATGTCACCGTTTTATATGAACACTGTTTTGCAAATCTTTCACCAGTTTTGCTTTAATTCCAGATACTGTGTCTGGAATCACTGCTGCTTCTATTTGGGCTACATTTAGATAAGAGTATAATGCAAATTTTACAGCAATATAAAGGTTTACAGCAAAACGTTCTAACAAACAGCCATAATGTTTTTCAAATTAAGGTGTTGGCTCATAATTCTTTTCACTAAACCCTACTCAATCCATTCAGACCACCTTAAATGGGTCATATTTTGGAAAATCCACTTTTTGGAGCTTTTTTAGCATGCAAAATTGTTGTTTCCTCGTTAAAAAATACCCCAAAACCCATTCTTGGCTGCATTTTCCTGTTTCAGCAGCAAATTTTGAATTTTATTTAGAAATTCCTGAAATGGCCTAATATATAAGTTGTACGTCACTCCATCTTCCTGCTCCCAACATCCCTGTTCCTCCCCCAGAAGCTAGTCTCTGGTTCTGAAACCTGAAACATGTCACATATCCTGGCCAGCTCAGGATGTGCGCATAGACCACAAATGTCATGTAACAGACTTGGTATTCTAGTGGTAAGTGGGCTTGCATGCAGTTTTGTGCAGGTTCACATCCTCTCAATCAATCAATCAAAGCTTTATTTATAAAGCGCCTTCCGCAACCCTGTCAGGAAGCCCAAAGCGCTGAACATGGTACAGTACAAAGTTAAATAAAGTGAATAAATCAGAAAATAAAAGCAATTCAAATTACAGATTACAAATTACAAAAAAAGGTGAAACATTCTAGTACAGGGATTCCCAAAGTGTGGTGCGCGCACCCCTGGGGGTGCGCGAGCTGCCGCTAGGGGGTGCGCAAGATGAAAAGTGTAATGGCTGCGGAGCTCAGAGAAGTCTGTCATGTGTCACCATTATTGTAGAAACTCATTTGTGGGTGGACCAAAGAAAAAGTAAGTGGGCACAATAAATGTAATTGAAAACAAGTATATTTTTGCGTGCGCGCGTGTCCTCCACATGTGCCCTAGCTTCATAATAACAATGCGTCGAGCTTCAGCGCTCTGGCCTGCGCACGCCGATATTTTCCGTATTTGATCATTTTTAACGATGTTGGAGGAATCTGAAGGTGGTGAGTCATTCTGGCAGATTGTAATTAACACCTGTCTCATGCAGGTGTTCTGACATTGTAAACCTCACACACAGAACATTGTGGATGTAACAAAATAACAAGAAATGATTCCCATTCAGGCTATTGACAACGCGCTGAAGATCTGAAGTTCAGAGTGCGTCTGTCAGAGGTCAGACACGTTCCAGCGGAACCACGGCTCACGGGTGCACATGTGAGCACATCCGGGCTGGGCAGAAATTTAAATAGCACCAATAACGAGACGCGATGACTTGAGCGGCTGTGCCGCGCGCGCGTGCACACGCGCACACACAGGTTCAATAAGCGCGCACGCTGCTTTAACTCCGGCGCGCAGTCAGACTGAAGGCAGAAATGAACGCTGCCTCCACCGTGATAAAAACTTTTAAGAGGTTATTTTTCATTCATGGTCAAATTAAGATATTAGCTTCTGGGATGAGTCGGGTCCGCTCCAGCCAGTGACTCCTCATGAACCTGACCACAAGTCCTGTTACTGCACCATTTGTTATTCCAGTCCGCATGACAGCGGATCGCAGATTGAGCCACACCATAAAACAGCAAAAAGTCGGTCTGAGGCAAAAGTGAACATCATGGCTATATCTTGTCCCCTATTGACATTTGATTACGCACAAGTAGGTGATCAGCTCAGGTTTACGCAGAGCAGAAGGAAGGAGAGCGCTCTGGCCGCACAGGTTAAACGTTCCTGCTTTAAGAAAACCGTTAAATTGCATTGTTTATGTGCTACCTGGGCACTCTAAATATTTATTTAATATTAAATCAAAGGAATTTGTAATGGTATCGAATGTTTATTAATTACTATTTAAAAAATGAAAGTGATGGGGAATTTTTTTTAACCCTGTCTGTTTAGCTTGACATCTGATATATATATATATATATATATATATATATATATATATATATATATATATATACATATATAAATAGAGCCATGCCCCGATGTGGGGGCGGGGTGCGTCGACATGGTCGGGACATAGAAGGGGGTGCACGGCTAAATAAGTTTGGGAACCACTGTTCTAGTAGAAGACAAATGTGTAAAACAAGGGAAAAAGTGAACCAATGAAAACTGTGAGATAAAATCAACATAAAAGAGGGCCAAATTCAAACATGTTCAGGAAACGCCAAGCGGAGGAGGTGGGTTATTAGGCGACTCTTGAAGACTGGCAGAGATGGGGACAGCCTAACTGAGGGTGGCAACTGGTTCCATAGTGACGGTGCTAGGACTGAGAAAGCCCGGTCCCCGCGAGTACGACACCTAGAACGAGGGACAGCGAGCAGGCCTTGGTCAGAGGAGCGCAGAGCGCGTGATGGGGAGTGTCTGTTCAGGAGTGTGGCTAGATAGGGTGGGACACCCTCCTGGAAGAAATTATAAACAAAGACAAGGAGTTTGAAGTGTGAACAATAACAAACCGGAAGCCAGTGCAGAGAGGCCAGAACCGGACTGATGTGGTCCCGTTTCCTGGTCCCAGTCAGGAACCTGGCTGCACTCTCAGCAGTAACTTTTATTCTTTTTAGCTGTACCTGCTTGTATGATGTTTTCAATCAGTTAATGGTAAACAGTTTAAAATATAATAACTAATGTGTTTTTTGTTTGTTTGTATTTTATTTTTATTTTTTTATTATTATTATTTTTTGCTTTGTTTATTTGTTTATTTAGCCAGTGTGAGTCCATGTGAGGTGACCAGAGTAAATCAACTAAAATGCTGCTTGGAAATGACCAAAGCCAAACATCTTTAGAGATACAAAAAAGTTTGCAGAAAATGACCAATAAAACTAAAATATAAAAACATTACATTTGCTTTAGCTGGGTAAATAAATTATTGGCTAAACGATTTATTGGAGACATCACCAGGTTTTGAACCCACATCAGCACATGGGAAAACTAAGATGGCAGGCACACACCTTTACCACACATTTTATTTCTGGGTAGACATTCAGGCTAATGAAAAATAAAACCTCATATTTAAAATAAATCACACCTCAATAGTTCCAACAGTACTATTTTATCATACACTGTGCCTATGTTTGTTCTCCATCCATCCATTGTCTGAACCCGCTTTGTCCACATAGGGTCGCGGGGGGGGGGGGGGGGGGGGGGGGTATCTCCAGTGGTCAAGGGGCAATCAGGTGGGGTACACCCTGGACAGAGACCCAGTCCATCACAGGGCAGCACAGAGACACACAGGACAAACAAACAATCACACACACACACACACACACACACACACACACACACACACACACACACCTGGGGACAATTTAGACAGACCAATCAACCTAACAGTCATGTTTTTGGACTGTGGGAGGAAGCCGGAGTACCCAGAGAGAACCCACGCATGCACAGGGAGAACATGCAAACTCCATGCAGAAAGATCCCAGGCTGGGAAGCGAACCCAGGACCTTCTTGCTGCAAGATGAGCTGTGCAGCCACGTTTGTTCTCAATGGTTTAAAATAGCATGATCTGAAACCTTTATATCTTATCAGTGGGATAAATCGTGTCAGGTTTCCTCTCAACCACAGGAGGCTTTGGTGCCTTCAGGAGCATCTCTGTAAAAACCAGAGACTGAACTTTAACCTCAACTCCAAATATTTTCATCTTTTCCTCAGATTAACTTTGTCTTCCTGTTTAACATTGTTCGGATTTTGATGACTAAACTGAGAGCATCGACAACCTCAGAGACCATCCAGTACAGGTAAGACCAACAAGCTCACCTTCACCCCATGTGAGATCAAGGTCTGGTCTGGTCTGGGTGAGAAGATAACTCCACTAAGCATACAGGCATAATAAAAAACAAAGCAATTTCACTAAAATGATCTTGTAGTTTCATCAGGAACCCATTAAACCAGTAAAACCAATTAAACCTTAAACCCCAGGAATCTGATGACTGTGTCCTTGTCTTTGTTGCAGGAAGGCAGTGAAAGCTACCTTGGTCCTGCTGCCCTTGTTGGGAATCACCTATATGCTGTTCTTTGTGAATCCTGGAGGAGAAGATGAGTTGTCCCAGATTGTTTTCATCTACTTTAACTCCATCCTGGAGTCTTTCCAGGTTGGTAAATGTCCAGCTGGTCATGTGATGCAGCATGCAGATGCTCAGGACTTGTTCCTGATGTTTTCCTCAAAAATAGTTTGTGTTATATCCTTGTTGGTTCCCAACACGATGCTCTCTTAAATAAAGTTCTTATTTAGAGTTTTTTGACCAATATTCTTTGCAACCGTCCATCAATGAATGAAAATTGCTCACTGTTCTTCATCCCACAGCTGATTTGGTTCCCCTTTGTGTCTCCGCAGGGTTTCTTTGTCTCCGTCTTCTACTGTTTTCTCAACAGTGAGGTGATTCAACTCAAAGACAACAGCAACAGAAAAACATAGAAACAAAAAGTAGAAAACATTTTTAAAACAAAAGGCAAATTTAAAACACACACGGAGAACAAACCATCACTTGAAAGAGATTGGAAGGGACAGGTGTGTTACTTAGAGTCACATTCCATTTAGAGGAAGCTGTCGGAAGTGTAATGAATCCATGTTAACACACAGGTTGGAAACAGACCAGCTGGAACAGAAATGGAAATTTTACTGGAATTACTTCAGTTTAGTTTGAACTGGTTTCAGTGAAGTTGTTCTGTTTTACTGAGCCACTCTGCATGACCTCTGACATTTTGTCCATATGCACTTTGTCCTGATCCAGAAGACAGCATGTCCAACACTGTTTTTATCAATCCTCCACCTACTCTACAAGTGTCTCCAAGTCAACTTCTGTAAAGTTTCTCCTCACTCCCATGTGTAAAGTCATGATTTTTGATCATATAGAGGAGACTCGCACCTGCGGGACATTGTTTTTAAATGGAGGCGTGTCAAGGGTAGGAGTCCCTCATGTGGCTCGATTCTGCCATCATCAGGCTAAACAAAGGAAAGGTGCTTGGATTCATGTTGGTTACACCTGGATATGGTTGTGCTTACACATTTTCCTTTCATTAAATGGATGTCATCTTTTGTAGGACATCCATGTAGGTCTCTGGACAGGTCCCTCATGTTTCACTCAGACAAAACTGCTCCCAGTGGAACACCAGGACCAACACTGGTTTATTTGAATAAACTATTAAGACCTATCTGATAAATATAAACTAAACCAGTTCACATCAGAATCATTGACCCAAGAAACAAAGATCTGATTACTAAAAGCCATTAAAGAGTTTGATTTCAATTAGAACTTTTTTGTTTAGATTAAATATACTTTAAATACATCTTTACAACATGTCTTTGTAATTGTGCACCTGTCTGTGTGCAGGTACGCTCTGCAGTCAGGAAGCGCTGGATTCGCTGGCACGACCATCACTCCATTCGCAGCCGGACAGTGCGAGCCACATCTCTGCCCACATCACCAAGCAGGGTATCCTTTCATAGCATCAAACAGTCCTCCAACCTCTGACAGACTACATCAACCAATCAGAGCTCTTCGTCTGGACCAGATCAAAGCAACCAATCATAGTGCAGGACACAGATTTATGGACTAATTCAGAGATCTGTCAATCAGGAAGCTCTTTGGCCCCACCTATTCTCATATTCTTACCAACTACTGGATCTGAACAGTCGCCCACGACTGCAAAGCCAGACACACCAACCTGTGCATGGCTTGGACAGATTACAAGAAAGCCTATGACTCAGTGCTGCACTCATGGACCATTGAATGCTTGGAGCTGTACAACATCAACAGGACTCTCAGAGCCTTCATTGCAAACTTGATGGGGCTGTGGAAAACCACCCTTGAGGCAAGCCAATTGCACAAGTCTCCATCACATGTGGCATATATCAAGGAGACGTCCTGTCCCTCTACTGTTCAGCATAAGTCTGACCTAGGGTTGCTACAAACAATTATTTAAATATTCAAATAATCACTAGTAGTTTTTTGGCAACTAAAAGTCAACTAACAGTGTAATGAGTAAAGTATAGCTTATTGCATCAAGATGCAGCTGCTCTAAAATACCCATCATTAGCTTCTAGATTGAAGTGTGATTGTTATGTGCCATCTAAATATAAAGACAAGATGATAGTTTATCAAACAACAGGGGCCTCATGGCCGCCTTTGCTTGCCGAGGTGTGTATGTTGTTGGCTTGGTAACAAACTTACCCACTGAAGAAGAGTGCTTTAATAACTGTAACGTCGCTGGATACAATAAATCATTAGAGTTTGTAACATCAGAGCAGATTTGTGACATACGTGTGATAATGATAATGAAATTGCCATCACTACTGCTGTTGCTACTAATGTTGACGTTAGCAGCTAACGATACCATACCATTACCATACCATTTTATTTATAAAAGCACTTTCAACATGGCATTACAACCTAACAAAGCAATAGGTAATTAGCTAAGCTTACAGTGGCGACTGTCCCTCCTCGTTCAAAACCATGACGTGCTTCCTTTTAAGGAGAGCTCTTTTTTTATTATTTATTTCTTCCGTGTCCTGTCTGGCTGTGAAGCAAACAGAATTAATGTCTGAATGCTGGTGACAAGCCTTACCACTTCTTTCCACCGGAGCCGTCAGCAGCACGTCTAGCTCGCGTATGCTGCTGCTTGGCCCTTCCCACGAAGCAGCAGGGGAGCAGCTGTCACCGACAGAGCACGAAGTCACACAAGTGACTTCGTCAGTAAACATAACAACAAGCAGGATAAAGTTACAACATGGCTCCAAAAGGTTTGTGTTTTATGTTCTTTCCGTTTTATAATCGCCAATACGGACCTGAAAAACAAAGGAGACCGCTAGCCAGGTGTTAACTTCTCACGGGGCCGCACAGTTGGTAACATTTTTTAAAAGTAAAGCAACCGGAAGGCCGTACGTTTCTTTATTCTGAAGATCTCGGGAGCTTCGCTCCATTTCCGTGTCCGATTTCCGAGTGAGTGTGAGAGCCACTGTCCAGGCCCCATCATATAACGTGCTCTGTGAATGTCTCAGACAATGGCAAACAGAAGAGGAGACACTAGTAACACTATCATGGGAGGGCAAACCCCTACATGGGATGTACCACTGACAGATTTCTGAAGTGTCTGATATGAAGAAATCTTACCAATGACTGGAAAGAGCTGGTCTGAAGGACGGCACAGAGGCTCTCATCATGGCTGCTCACAGGAACAGGCCCTGAACACCAGAGCAACAGAGGCCAAGATCTACCACAGCAAACCAAGACCCAAGGTGTAGGCCATGCAAAGAGACCCCTGAGACAGTCCACCACATAACTGCAGTGTGTAAGATGCTGGCAGACATCGGTGGTGCCCGTGGCCATCGGGAAACTCGGGGCAATATCCCCCAAGCTGGAGGAGTGGCTAAAGCAGATCCCAGGGAATAATGTATTTTTTTTATTTATGTATTTATTGTATTAATCACCAGCCTTCTCCTCCACCCTACTAGCAGGGGCACTGCTCCAAATGTAATTTAGTTTTCTGTCACTCAAGGATTTCATAGATATATTCTGGTTTTGAATAAATGCTCTGGGAACAGTTCCCAAATTAGAAAAGAGTTACAGCCTACTGAAATGTGTTTGAGATTAATTAGTCCGATTTTAACCAAGGTATTAAGATAAATGATAAACTGCAGTGTTTTACTTTCCCAACCTTTAACTCTACCTTATTGCCATTGGCAAAACCTAACCTCTGACCCCGGGGAAGAAACAGGTTTAAATGCTGGTCTTTAGACTGAGGAACAAGAGGGACCTTGGAATGAGGGATCATGTTGATTGATCTGAACTTACTGTGGATTCATCCTAAGATGCATTTTGGGTAACCAGAGCTGCGATGAGACCCTGTTAAGACTTAACTTTCAGCCCAACAGAAACTGATGTTTCCAGGTGTTAAACAGTGACTGGAACCTAACATTTATTTTTTTAAAGGTAATCTTTTTTAATATCTGGGCTAAAATCTTGTTTAGATTCTGCAGGAAGCAAATGTAATCATGGCACAAGTTCAGAACTTGTTTACATGTTCAGAGGGTCCGTTGTCCTGAGGTTTGTTTTCATCTTTGCTGTGGCTTCTATTTCTCCTCCAGGTTTAAACATGTCAGCCCAAACCTGAGGGTAACTATGGTAACCAGGGCCTTTCCATCTCAACACATAGCTTCAGCTTCTCTTGGATTTAGTCAGATTAAACATTTTCACACTGTTTAAAATGAATTATGAGGATTTAGAAGGAAATTTGCTAAATCACTCAACAGGTTCTAAAGTTTTAAACTGAGCAGGTCTGATTCTGATTGGACTTGACAGAGAGAGGAGAGTACCCAGTAACCATAGTAACCAGTGGTTTGGTTCGGGTGTGTGGAGGGAACTGCTCAGAATCAATCTCTAACCACTCCCGCTCCTCATCATCCTGAATTTATGGCTGTGACTGGGTCACTGTGTGTGTGTGTGTGCGTGCGTGTGTGCGTGTGTGTGTGTGCGTGTGTGTGTGAGGTTGCAAACATCACACTGAAAATCCTATGTTGATACTTAAGAGGAGCATTTGATTTGTGCTCAAGAGACATGGGCTGCAGCAAGCCGAGGGAGATCCTTCTGTACACGCTGATGTGTCAGAAATAAATCTGTCTTCAGGACAAACTGTGTGTTTCTTGAGTCAGACAGAGAGTGTCTCACTAAAACCCAGACCCCGTTGCTCCAGAATTTGGAAGCTGGTCCAAAACCACTTCTGGACCAATGAACGTAAAGCCTGGTCCACAGAACTATTGTGTTTCAGCTCAAGTGACACAAACCCAACTCCATCACCAGCTACTTTGTAGAACAATAAACCTAACAGGCCAAAGAGCTAGAACTTGGATTGAAGAGACTAGGTGAGTCCAAAAATATTTGATCACACAAATCAATCACCAGAACTAATCACAAGATAGGACACATAGGGTAACATATGAAAACAAACCTTAAACAATTAGGGTGGTGGGGTGCTAAACTTTTATAGTCATTTCAGTAAACAATTTATTCAGGACCTTATTTAGTGACACAAAATTGACCAGTAATTAAAATTCTCTTCACCCACCAGCAACAAGTGGCCAGCCTTCTGGTCTGAGGTCAGTGAATGGGTATCTGCTGAAAAACATCATCAAACCTCATTCATAATAATAATAATAATAATGATAATAATAATTAATCAGAAAGCAAACATGAATCACTCTTTTTATTTGCTAAAATTTAACCATAAACCACCAAAATGGTTGTATTCGTATATACCTACCCCCTAACAGGCCCAACAGAATTAATCCTGACCTGTTCTTCAGATCTGAACTCTTGAATCAGATGTTTGTAAGAACAGAGTGACCTCTGGAGGCTAGATTGGGATCTGCATGACTTCACTTAAATTCAATAGCTTATCTGAATGCAAAAAAATTATATAAATATGATCAAATGTGTTCCTCTAACTGTCCAAATCAAATAAAATGTTAAAGGAACTATGATCAAATGATCTTTTTAAATCTGTGTTTACAAATAAAACAAGGGCATTTTTAATTTTCTTCATTTGCATTAAAAGTTAAAGCCCCATAGTCATCATCACACACTTCATCTCTGCATTTGTTCCCCGTGGGGAGCAGCGAGCTGCAGCTGTGGCTGCGCTCGTGAAAATGTATTGTTATTTCATTTATTTGTTGTTTTGTTGTGACTAAGCTCTGACAAAGCATCACTGATCACCCCATACGGGGCACTCAGGGTCATGGCTGATCTGAGACTGAGGGTTATCTCACCCCCTAACCCTGAGAGGTGGAGCTTAACCTATGCTGTTTGAAGATTGCACCACATAAATAAACCGTATAAAATAATCATAATTTAATTTAGATTTTGAAATAAAAAAAACTAAAAGTTTAAACAAACAGAAAGTATTGAGCTGCTGAGTGTGAAACACAGGTGAACAAATGACCAGTCAGAAATCAGTGTGATGGATCAGGTGACATCGGTGTCACATACCGACACATTAAGTCCTTGACTTAAAGAACGTGGCATTGCTCTACCTGAAAGCTGGTGTGTCTTCGACCCTTCGAACTGCTTTTGTTCCTACTGTGCAGAACACACAGGAAACACTCATTCATCATAATCAGCCAACTGCAGCTCAGAGGAGGAGCCATTGGAGGACAACATGACTGTAGTCTTTCAGTTAATTCCACTGCCACTTTAGATCCACTTTCAAATATATCAATAGTTTTGCTTGACGTGTTTTAAGTGAAACAGTTCACCCATGAAGGTACTCTACTCCACCTGATCTGGTGAACAAACTAGGGAGGAACCTGCACAAGGTTTTCTTCAGTTGTCATGGTCCAGAGCCCTGAGGAATTTCAAAGGTTACCACAGAGGCAACCTAAGCCTGTCGCCACCAGATCCTGAGGTATGATGGAGACACATCAGGAGAACAGGAAGTCTCCCAGAAGACGTCACTTCCTTTCCAGGGTGTTCGAACATTCACTTGTTACACGGTGGAGATTGAGCTGAGAAGAAACAGGGAGAAAACGAGAGAGAGAGATGCTGATTCTGCTGGTTACCATGGAAACAAGCCCCTCCCTCTCAGAGCGGCAGTAGGGTGGAGCAGCAGACAGACCGCAGCAGCAGGAGCAGCAGAAGGAGGTAAGACTATTTCTCTTCCTCCCCCTACACCTCCTCCTTTCTTCTCCTCTGCAGCAGCTCCATCCTATCCAGGAGACCCAGAGGCTGCAGAAAGAGAGACTTTCCACTGCAGCTGCCCCTCCAGCCGTGGTTTTCTGCTCCGCATGAAGCCGGCCGGCCTGCAGGCAGCAGAGAGGGAAGAGGAGGAGGAGATGGTGGAGGAGGAGGTGCGGCGGGCAAGAGGACACAGTAGCACTAAATAGAAACAGACTTTATTCTTGTTGCTGCATCATCATGGTGATGGTTTGTGAGCATGCCTGTTGAGGCCCCCTCTGCTCCTTCTCCTCCTCCTCCAAGCTGCATGCTAGGAGTGTGTGGTTTTGTTCATTCAGTCTGGGGTGGTTCGGTCCAGTCTGTGTGTTTCCATTTTGAACAACACTGTCTCTGGAGTTTACACGGACTCCACAAGTTTACGGTTCCACGTGAGGCTTTTTGTTTAGAACGGTTTAAGGTCTTTCTGGATGTTGGAGTTATCTGTCTGTACGGTGACTGCACAGGTTCAGGCATCTTAGAGATAAGTACTCTTAAAGAGCATAATACAGACAACACAATGATTTTGAAAGTTAAAAACACAAAGTGGACATTTTCCAGGAAATGGTTTAAACTATTTAAATAAATTTAATCAACACCAATCACTATTTTAAACAAAAGTCACAATAAACCAACAATAAGCCAACAATATGACCTCCAAATGCCACAATAAATCAATAATATGAACCAATATTAATCACATTAAACTAAAATAACATTCAGCAATCACCATTACAAACCATTATCCATTATAAACTCACCTTCAGTACAAGCAACCAACAAAAATCACATGAAACATATAATTCCTGCAAGGGGCGTTTCCATTTCTCTGGCCCATCACCTTCTGTTGCTCAGGACTGATGAACATCCCTGAATGCAGGTTGTTGGTTTCCTTTTATTGGACACATTTGAACAATTTACGTGGTAAATTTGGTTTTGTTACAGCTTATGTCAATTCATTGGAAACTGTTAAGTTGAATTTGTTCCTTATTTAAATTTGACCTTTTGCTTTCTGTAAATGGTAACTGGCCCTGTATTTGTATAGCACCTTCTAGGGTTCTACAACCCCCCCAAGGCACTTCACAACACAATCAGTCATCCACCCATTCACACACACATTCACACGCCCATTCACACACCCATTCACACGCTGATGATGAGGTACAATGTAGCCACAGCTGCCCTGGGGTGCACAGATGTTGATGAGGCTGTCAAACGCTGGCGCCACCAATCCCTCCGACCACCTCCAGCAGGCAAGTTGGGTTAAGTGTCTTGCCCAAGGACACAACAGCAGCATTCTCTGGTGGTAGCCAGGATCAAACCTACAACCTTCAGATTACCGGTCAACCCGCTCTACCTCCTGAGCTTCTCCTACCCCTGTACTGCAACAAGCCAACAATATAAAGAGTTTTGCAAATGCTGAATGTGAAATTAAGAAAAAATGAGAATCTGGTGCAAAAGTGCATTTATATCAGTAATCCAACTCAGACTGAGAGACCATCTAAAGGCTCAAAAGCCCTTCGGAGGTGCTCTGGATTCATCAGTTGATTAGAGTGTGTCACTTTGAGGCTAGAATAATGAACCTTTTCACAATATTCTGATTGAGATTTTGAATGCGGGGTTTTCATCAGCAGGAAGCCATAATCATCACAGTTATCACAAATAAAGACTTTAAATATCTGGCTTTGCATGTAATGAGTCTGTCACATGTGTTAGTTTCACATTATAAGTTGAATTACTGACACAAAAGGACTTTTGCACCACGTTCTAATTTTTCGAGTTTCACCTGTAAATAACCTAAATCGAATGAAAGCAACAGAAACCAGTGAAACAGGAAGTTGGTTGAGGTTTTGTTTTTGGAAAGGACCCTAATATTCAGGCCCATGAACAGAACAGTCCTCTGGTTTTATGAGCAAAAGAGGATCTGCTCAAAGTAAAGAGAAAGACACTTGTACACATTGGGGTGGTTTTTCAGATGCTTTTGTTGTAGAAGTGTTTTAGGCTCCACTGGTTCTTTATAGTGATGGACATTGTGGTTTTTGGTGAAAAGGCCGTTTTCTTATTAACTCTTGAGATAAATGTTGTGAGGTTCTGCTCTGTGATACACTTCAGGTTCAAAAAAGTTTATTTTTGTGAACAGACTTTCTCACCTGTGTCTAATTATAACAAAAATGCAGTAAAGAGTCACAAAGGACCCTAAAATGTGTTCCCCCCCCATCTCCTGTCCTTTTCCTGTTTAATGTTTCCACCTCTATCGTTTCTTGCAGGAGTGATGATGGATGGAGATTCGATTCCCATCAAAGATGGCCCTGCCCAGGAGGAGCAAAGGATGATGGGAGGTTTGTGTTTGCCTGTCATTCATCCGTATCATCGGTTAATCAGTCATGAACAGGACAACATTTGATATTTTAGCTCCGTCTGACCTTGGCTCAGATTCAGATCCAAGATTTCAGTCTGGATCGTTTTTGATCCCGAACTTGAAGTTCTGATGGGTTGGGGCAAGAAACAGCCCTGTTCCTCCTCCACACCTCCTTCCAAGCAGGATCAGGAGGCAGTGAACAGTGAAGGAGGAGGAGGATGTAATTAGGGAAGAGGAGCAGTTTGAGGAACAGGAGAAGAGGAGAGCTTTGCAAGGAGGAGGATCTGGAAATGTGAGGCCCTGCACCCCGAACCTAAGAACTCCTGTCCCTCTATGTTCAGCTTGGAGGTTCCTGCTGACAAAAGAAATGCACTCCATGTTTCTTTTCTGACAATGCATCTCCCTCTAGAAAAAGAGCACCTCCTGCAGGAGCTACTAAGAGACGAAAAACAAACACCTCCTTCTTTCCACTCAGAAAACCAGGTGCACATTCCTCTCTAGCTATTTTTTGTCTTGCTGCTCCTCTCCCAAGTGCCATGTTTTTAATTTTTGTCTCTCTTGCTTAATGTGACTGACTAGTCACTTCTATTTGACTTCTTGGTTGTCATGGCAACCGACACCTGACCAGATCTAACAGTAGTTTTCTTCAATTATTGGGAGTGATGTCACCTCCTCCTGGCTCCTCCCTCTAATGCTCTCAGTCCAGCTACCCCCATCCTTTTCCTGTCCCGCTTTTCAAATCCCTGTTCCCCATCTCACCCGTGCTCACCCATCTCTCACTCACTCTTCCCTCCCCCTGCTCCACCTCCTCCTCCTTCCACAGATAGCTTGATATATTAATGGTGATGATGATGTCTCTTTCTCCTGTCTCTTATCTCCCCCTGTCATTTCCCCACTCCTCCATCTCCTCCCTTCCAGGTAAAGCAGCTGGAAAAGAGCCAACTGATGCAGCTGTGAAGGTAAAGCTTGGATGTGTTTTTTCTGCGTTGTGCTACACCAGGTGAATTACAAGCAGAGTTCAACTGAGACAGGTTGTAGAACTGGCAATGGAGTCAGACGCTCTGGTTCTATTTTTGGTCCTCAGCCTGGAGAACAACAGCTTAAAGTTGGGTTTCATTTGGTTATCAATTTCAGGGCTCCGGAACAGCAGGAGGCAGCAGAGCTGCAAAGATGATCTCAGCCAAGAGCACAGGTATTCAACAACAATAAAACCAGTAAAACCTTATGAAGCTGTTCCAACAGACTCACCTGTTAATATATGTCCATCTGTCTGTCAGAGTCTGTCGACAGCGTCAACAGTCCAGGAAGTCGTTCACCTGCCAGCAGATCATCAACTCCCAACAGAGATGTGCGGAAGGTCAGAACATCTACCCATCCTCTCCTCTCCTCAGTCTGCCTCAAGAGTTTGGTTAATGGCTTGGATTTATGGTCCCAGAACAATGCCATGATTTTAAAAACATAATGAATGTGTTATCCGAGTGTAAAAATGTAATTTTCATCTCACATGGCTTTTGTTCTGACAGTACCATTCTTTATTTCATTGTATGTTGACTGGTTTCATTTGTTTCCTTGTCTGAATCTTTAGAGTCAGGTTCAATGTTTGTCTGAGTTCAGAAATCAACATTCACTCCAGAGGTGGAGCTGAGCATATCTTCTGACTCTGAGGAACATCAGGTGGAAGTGAAAGAAACTGCTGGGCGGTAATGGTCAGAACTTTTGTGGGAGGGAGATAATCTCATGCATAGCTCTAGTCCGGATCAGTTGATTTAGTAGACTTCAAGTTTTTGTCACACTGCAATTCAGAGGAGGAAGATCACACTAGGAATGGGGAACTTCTGACTTCTACTGGCGACATTGTCAGGCAGTGAGAATTCTTTGAGGAGCTCATCAATCCTACCAACACATTCCAGTGTAGAAACAGAGCTGGGAGACTAGAGGATGGACTGGCCAATGTCTGGGGCAGATGTTGCTGAGGCAGTCGAACATGAAGGTGGCAGCAGAGCCTCATCTTGGAGAGGCAACATTCATCTTTCGTGTCAAAAGCTATGGATATCGTTGGACTGTCTTGGCTGATACCTCTTTAGCATTTTGTGTAGACATTGAGGGCAGTGACTAGTGGCAGACTGGGGTAGTGGTCCTATTTTGAAGAAAGATGACCAGGATGGTGTTCTAATTAAACAAAAATGGACACAATTATTGGTTCTCTTCTGTCAAAAAAAGAAAAGCCCACAATGGTCACAGACATACCTTGAATCTGAGAAAAGTAATGATAAAAAAAATTCTATGAAATGTAACCAAAGAAAGTCAGACATTGCTTTTCAACCAAGCTTCAATGGAATTATAAAAAATAAATAAATAAATAAACCTAATGGAACAGGCATGGACAAAAAGGATGGTACCCCTAGAAAAGCCTGAAAATAGTGTGACCACAGGGACGTGTTAATTCTAGGTGTGCCCACTAATTAGCATCACAGGTGTCTATAACCGTGTATTCAGTCAGTGGACCTGTATATAGGGATCCAGGTAGTCACTGTGTTGTTTGGTGACGTGGTGTGTACCACACTCAACATGGACCAGAGGAAGTAAAGCAAAGAGTTGTCTCAGGAGATTAGATTATTGTGTTTTACATTCTTGCTTTGAATAAATGAGATGAATATAAGGTTTTAGTGAACATTAATGATTTATTAATGCTAGGGGTGGTCATGGCCACACACACACACACACGTATGTACATATATATATATATATATATATATATATATATATACAGTGGGGTAAAAAAGTATTTAGTCAACCACCGATTGTGCAAGTTCTCCCACTTAAAATGATGACAGAGGTCAGTAATTTACATCATAGGTACACTTCAACTGTGAGAGACAGAATGTGAAAAAGAATCCATGAATTCACATGGCAGGATTTTTAAAGAATTTATTTGTAAATAAGGGTGGAAAATAAGTATTTGGTCACTTCAAACAAGGAAAATCTCTGGCTCTCACAGACCTGTAACGTCTTCTTTAAGAAGCTTTTCTGTCCTCCACTCGTTACTTGTATTAATGGCACCTGTTTGAACTCATTATCTGTATAAAAGACACCTGTCCACAGCCTCAAACAGTCAGACTCCAAACTCCACTATGGCCAAGACCAAAGAGCTTTCAAAGGACACCAGGAAAAGAATTGTAGACCTGCACCAGACTGGGAAGAGTGACTCTACAATAGGCAAGCAGCTTGGTGTGAAAAAATCAACTGTGGGAGCAATTATCAGAAAATGGAAGACATACAAGACCACTGATAATCTCCCTCGATCTGGGGCTCCACTCAAGATCTCATCCCGTGGGGCCAAAATGATCATGAGAACGTTAAGCAAGAATCCCAGAACCACACGGGGGGACCTGGTGAATGACCTGCAGAGAGCTGGGACCACAGTAACAAAGGTCACCATCAGTAACACACTACAACGGCAGGGAATCAAATCCTGCAGTGCCAGACGTGTTCCGCTGCTGAAGCCAGTGCATGTCCAGGCCCGTCTGAAGTTTGCCAGAGAGCACATGGATGATACAGCAGAGGCTTGGGAGAATGTCATGTGGTCAGATGAAACCAAAGTAGAACTTTTTGGTATAAACTCAACTCGTCGTGTTTGGAGGAAGAACACCAAGAACACCATACCTACTGTGAAGCATGGGGGTGGGAACATCATGCTTTGGGGCTGTTTTTCTGCTAAGGGGACAGGACGACTGATCCGTGTTCAGGACAGAATGAATGGGGCCATGTATCGTGAGATTCTGAGCCAAAACCTCCTTCCATCAGTGAGAGCTTTGAAGATGAAACGTGGCTGGGTCTTCCAACACGACAATGATCCCAAACACACCACCCGGGCAACAAAGGAGTGGCTCCGTAAGAAGCATTTGAAAGTCCTGGAGTGGCCTAGCCAGTCTCCAGACCTCAACCCCATAGAAAATCTGTGGAGGGAGTTGAAAGTCCGTGTTGCTCGGCGACAGCCCCAAAACATCACTGCTCTCGAGAAGATCTGCATGGAGGAATGGGCCAAAATACCAGCTACTGTGTGTGCAAACCTGGTAAAGACCTATAGTAATCGTTTGACCTCTGTTATTGCCAACAAAGGTTATGTTACACAGTATTGAGTTGAATTCTTGTTATTGACCAAATACTTATTTTCCACCCTGATTTACAAATAAATTCTTTAAAAATCCTGCCATGTGAATTCATGGATTTTTTTTCACATTCTGTCTCTCACAGTTGAAGTGTACCTATGATGTAAATTACTGACCTCTGTCATCATTTTAAGTGGGAGAACTTGCACAATCGGTGGCTGACTAAATACTTTTTTGCCCCACTATATATACATACACAGGATACACATATATGCAGGTTCAAGCCCCGCTCATTCTGTCGCTGTCATTGTGTCCTTGGGCAAGACACTTAACCCACCTTGCCTGCTGGTGGTGGTCAGAGGGACCGGTGGCGCCTGTGTATGGCAGCATCACCTCTGTCAGTACGCCCCAGGGCAGCTGTGGCTACATCGTAGCTCATCCCCACCAGCGTGTGTGAATGGGTGAATGACTGATTGTGTTGTAAAGTGCCTTGGGGGGTTCCAGGACTCTAGAAGGCACAATATCAAATGCAGGCCATTACACACATATATATATATATATATATATTCAATTCAATTCAAGTTTATTTATACAGGTGCTGGCCAGTAAATTAGAATATCATCAAAAGGTTGAAAATATTTCAGTAATTCCATTCAAAACGTGAAACTTGTACATTATATTCATGCAATGCACACAGACCAATGTATTTCCAATGTTCATTACATTTAAATTAGATATTCATAAGTGACAACTAATGAAAACTCCAAATTTGGTATCTCAAAAAATTAGAATATTCTGAAAAGGCTGAATATAGAAGACACCTGCTGCCACTCTAATCAGCTGATTTACTCAAAACACCTGCAAAGGCCTTTAAAAGGTCCCTCAGTCTTGTTTTGAAGGCACCACAATCATGGGGAAGACTTCTGACTTAACAGCTGTCCAAAAGACAATCATTGACACCTTGCACAAGGAGGGCAAGACACAAAAGGTGATTGCTAAAGAAGCTGGCTGTTCGCAGAGCTCTGTGTCCAAGCACATTAACAGACAGGCGAAGGGACGGAAAAAATGTGGTAGAAAAAAGTGTACAAGCTCTAGGGATAACCGCACCCTGCAGAGAATTGTGACGACAAACCCATTCAAAAATGTGGGGGAGATCCACAAAGAGTGGACTGCAGCTGGAGTCAGCGCTTCAAGAACCACCACGAGGAGACTCATGAAAGACATGGGATTCAGGTGTCGCATTCCGTGTGTCAAGCCACTCTTGAACAAGAAACAGCGCAAGAAGCGTCTCGCCTGGGCCAAGGACAAAAAGGACTGGACTGATGCTGAGTGGTCCAAAGTTATGTTTTCTGATGAAAGCAAGTTCTGCATTTCCTTTGGAAATCAAGGACCCAGAGTCTGGAGGAAGAGCGGAGAAGCACAGAATCCACGTTGCATGAGGTCCAGTGTAAAGTTTCCACCGTCAGTGATGGTGTGGGGTGCCATGTCATCTGCCGGTGTTGGCCCACTCTGTTTCCTGAGGTCCAGGGTCAATGCAGCCGTCTACCAGGAAGTTTTAGAGCACTTCATGCTTCCTGCTGCTGACCAACTTTATGGGGATGCAGACTTCACCTTTCAACAGGACTTGGCACCTGCACACAGTGCCAAAACCACCAGCACCTGGTTCAAGGACCATGGTATCCCTGTCCTTGATTGGCCAGCAAACTCGCCTGACCTTAACCCCATAGAAAATCTATGGGGTATTGTGAAGCGGAGGATGCAATACGCTAGACCCAACAATGCAGAGGAGCTGAAGACGACTATCAGAGCAACCTGGGCTCTCATAACACCTGAGCAGTGCCACAGACTGATCGAGTCCATGCCACGCCGCATTACTGCAGTTATTGAGGCAAAAGGAGCCCCGACTAAGTATTGAGTGCTATACATGCACATTCTTTTCATGTTCATTCTTTTCAGTTGGCCAACATTAGAGAAACAAACATTTTTTCATTGGCCTTTAGAATATTCTAATTTTCTGAGATACCAGATTTGATGTTTTCATTGGTTGTCACCTATAAATATCAAAATTAAACGTAATAAACATCGGAAATACATTGGTCTGTGTGCATTGCATGAATATAATGTACAAGTTTCACGTTTTGAATGGAATTACTGAAATATTTTCAACCTTTTGATGATATTCTAATTTACTGGCCAGCACCTGTATAGCGCCAAATCACGACAAGAGTCGTCTCAAGGCACTTCACATAATAAACATTCTAATTCACAGTTCATTAAGCCAATCAGAAATAATGTGGATCGAGAAGACAGAGCAGACACACACACACACACACACACACACACACACACACACACACACACACACACACACAAGTAATGTGTCTATAGTTATATTGCGATGTCTTAGTAAATATTGTATTTGGTGAAAGATAAACTTTATTGTATTTATCCTAGTGGATCTGTAATTAAACGGATAAACTAGTATTAGCACATCAAAAGTCAATGAAAACAAAAAGTTATTATCAGGAGAGAGAGAATGTATTAGTGGTTAGCAGCAGTGTGCTAGTCGATGGCCCCCTCCATGAGGCCACCACAGCTCAGCAGAACGTCATTGTAGCTTCTTCTGGGGAGAAAAACACTTACAGAGAAAATAAAGTTAACAGCTGAAATTGCACAAAATAGTACAGTTAAAGAGCAGACTGTAGAAGAAAGCAGTAGAGTGTGAAAAGTGGTCAGTGTGTCCTCCAGCAGTCTAAGCCTATAGCAGCATAACTACAGAGTTAACTCTGGATAACCTATCCTATTTAGATGTAGGCATGTTGGAGGCAGGGCAAGGGAGAGCCGTCTTTACCGACTGTACACTCCACCTCCCTGTAATCCCCCACTTGTCCAGATTTAGGCTAACATCAGATTTTAACTATAAGCCCTATCAAATAAAAATGTTTTAAGCCTATTCTTAAAAGTAGACAAAGTGTCTGCCTCACGGACTAAAGCTGGGAGCTGGTTCCACAGGAGAGGAGCCTGATAACTAAAAGATCTGCCTCCCATCCTAAGTTTAGATATTCTTGGAACCACCAGTAGACCTGCAGTCTGAGAGCGAAGTGCTCGGTTAGGAACATACGGAATAATCAGATTACTGATGTATGATGGACCTTGATTATTAAGAGCTTTATATGTGAGAAGAAGGATCTTAAAATCTATTCTGAATTTAACAGGTAGCCAATGTAGGGAAGCTAAGACAGGAGAGATATGATCTCTCTTTTTAATTCTCATCAGAACTCTAGCTGCAGCATTTTGGACAAGCTGAAGACTTTTAACTACATTCTGTGGACTTCCTGAGAGTAATGAATTACAGTAATCCAGTCTTGATGTAATAAATGCATGAACTAGTTTTTCAGCATCACTCCTGGAAAGTATGCTTCTAATCTTAGCAATATTCCGAAGGTGGAAAAAGGAAATCCGACAAACTTGTGAAACCTGGGATTTGAATGACATGTCCTGGTCAAAGATAACACCAAGGTTCCTTGCTTTGTTCTCGGAGATTAATGTAATGCCATTAAGGTCAGGCGATTGGCTAAGCAATTTCCTTTTCTGGATTTCTGGTCCAAAGATGAGAACTTCCGTCTTGTCTTGATTTAAAAGCAAGAAGTTAAGAGTCATCCAATTTTTTATGTCCTCAAGACAAGCCTGTAATCTACCCAACCGATTAGGTTCATCAGGGTTAATGGATAAATATAACTGAGTATCGTCAGCATAACAGTGGAAGTTTATCCCATGCTGTCTAATGATTTTACCAATTGGGAGCATATATATAGTAAAAAGAATTGGCCCAAGCACTGAACCCTGTGGTACTCCGCAAGTAACCCTGGAGTATGAAGAAGATTTGTCATGTACATTTACAAAATGAAATCTGTCAGACAGGTAGGATTTAAACCAGCCTAATGCTGTTCCTTTGATCCCTACAACATGTTCAAGTCTTTCTAAAAGAACATTGTGATCAACTGTGTCAAAGGCAGCACTGAGATCTAACAAGACTAGAACAGACACAAGATTCTTATCTGAGGCCATAAGAATATCATTTGTAACTCTCACTAATGCGGTTTCAGTGCTGTGATACTCTCTAAAACCAGACTGAAATTCCTCAAACAGAGCACTAGTGTTCAAATGCTGACATACTTGGATGGCCACTATTTTCTCCAGGACTTTGGATAAAAATGGAAGGTTAGATATTGGTCTGTAATTCATTGGGTCATCTGGATCCAGAGAAGGCTTCTTAAGTGAAGGTTTGATTACAGCAAACTTAAAATCTTGTGGTACATACCCATTTACTAAGGATAGATTGATTATATCTAGAATGGGGGCAGTAACCAAAGGAAATGCATCTTTAAATAATTTGGTTGGGATTGGATCCAAAATGCAAGTTGAAGGTTTAGATGAAGCTAATATTTTTGATAACTCTGAAAGCTCAACTGGATCAAAACGGTTCAAGCACAGATGAGGTTCTAGAGTCACCTCTGAAGCTGCCTCACTTACTGAGGAAGAAGAAATCGCATTAGGGAGGATGCTAAAGATTTGGTTTCTAATAGAATTAATTTTACTTGTAAAAAATCCCATGAAGTCATTGCTGCTGAGGGCTAAGGGAATAGATGGCTCAGAGCTATGATTCTGTGTAAGTTTAGCAACTGTACTGAAAAGAAATTTAGGATTATGCTTATTCTCCTCAATTAATGCTGAAAAATAAGCAGTTCTAGTTTGTTGAAGCTTATTTTTATAAAGCACAAGACTATTTTTCCAGGACAGGTAGGCCTCCTCATGGTGCATAGAGCGCCATGTTCTCTCCAATTTCCTAGAGTTTTGTTTTAAAGCTCATAAATGAGAATTAAACCAGGGAGCCAAATTCCTGTCCCTAATTACCTTCTTTTTTAAAGGGGCAACATCATCTAATGCCACTCGTAAAGAGGAATTCACATGATGAACTAAGGCATCAATTTGTGAGGGGCTAGAACTGAAAATATTGCCCTCTGCTACATGCCTCTGAGATGCTGAGGACAGTAAAGATGGAACAGTTGATTTAAAAGATGCAACAGCGTTGTCAGATAGAGACCGACTATAATGAAATTTACTTTCATGTCTCGAGAACTCAGTTATAAAAAACTCAAAGGTTATCAGAAAGTGGTCCGAGAGGACCGGATTATGTGGAAAGATCGTTATTTCCTCACACTCTATGCCATAAGTCAGAACAAGGTCTAATGTATGATGGCAGGAGTGGGTGGAGCTATGTATTCTTTGAGTAAAACCAATTGAGTCTAAGATATTACTAAAGGCTACACTGAGGCAATCATTTTCGATGTCCACATGAATGTTGAAATCCCCCACTACAATGACCTTATCAGTATTTAGCACCAAATCAGATAAAAAATCAGAGATCTGATCCAAAAACTCAGAGTAAGGGCCTGGTGGACGATATAAAACTACAAACAAGAGTGGCTTTACAGTTTTGCAATCTGGATTAGGAAAACTAAGAATAAGATGTTCAAACGAACTGTAGCTATTAATCTGTAAGGGACTGATTAATAAGTCCGAATGAAAAATGGTTGCCACTCCTCCTCCTCGCCCTGTACTTCGAGCAATGTGATGATTTAAATAATTTGAAGGAGTCGACTCGTTTAAGCTAACATAGTCCTCTTGCTGCAGCCAGGATTCTGTGAGAGAGAGCAAAGTGATCTGATTATCACAAAGCAAGTCGTTAACAAAGTCTTAGAAAAAATGGATCTAATGTTCAACAACCCACATTTAATTTTTCTAGTTTTCTGCTCAGTTGAATTTGTTCTAATATTTATGAGATTTCCATGATTTGCTTTATTAAGCCTGATATTTAATCTGTGTGATTTTGGCCGTGGGCAGGACACTGTCTCTATGGGGTAGTGGGTGGGTAACAGTACAGAAGCTGCAGAGGGGTGGGTTAACTACGACTCTGCTTCCTGGTCTGGACCCTGGGTTGTCATGGAGGACTAATAAAACTGGCCATATATATATATATATATGTGTGTGTGTGTGTGTATATATATATATATATATATATATACAGTATATATTCTCATGGGTATAAGGGTATAAATATTGATACTAGGGCTGGTTAACGTGTACGTGTGAGGCTACATGTACTCACTTGTTAATAGTTGCACCTGCGATGACTGGCGGAGCACTGCAAGGATAACTACACAGGAGGATAGCAAATTACTTGGACATATTTTGACTTGGGATGAAAGAAGTAGAACAAATTAGCTTGCTTCAATCAAACTCCTTTTTTGAACTCTTTAGCGGGTATCTATCCTTGTGAAGTTAAATTTCTTCTTTTCTGACTGCACATGCTCAAGTAATAAAATCAGTGGAACTTGATTGCTATTCCATTTGTTTTATTTATTTTCTTACTGCTGGTTCTAACTTAACTGGTGTGGTTTTTCAGGTGGCTGTAGTCCGGACCCCACCCAGGTCTCCTGGCTCAGCTCGTGGCCGGACACCCCCTCTGTCCTCTCACCCAATGCCCAACCTCAGCAATGTGAAATCTAAGGTGGGATCCACTGAAAACCTGAAGCATTCACCTGGAGGGGGCAAGGTACCGCCTGTTTATGCACCTGCACATGAGAGTTCACATTCAGCTATGTCACTATAGGACCTGTCCACTTGCAGGTTCAGATTCTCAATAAGAAGCTGGATCTCAGTAATGTGACATCAAAGTGTGGCTCCAAAGACAACCTTCATCACAAACCAGGTGAGAGAAGGAAATAATTCATCTGCATCAAAAGAAATATGGTCAAACAGTTCAGGGGCTACAACGTTCTTTGAGACAGTTTCACAAAGAAAGTCATCATAACGAGACTGTGGGCCTCACACAAGGGCCTCTTACAAGATGGCTTAAACTATCATAATATATCAAACTGTGCATGTGCATTGATACAAACACATTTTATTTGAACCTCCCAATCAACATGTAATTGAGCGATGCATGTAAGTAACTGACTCCAGTTCTCAACACATTTCAACTCAGATATTCTATGTCCTGTGCAGGGGCGGATTTAGGACTGAAGAAGATCCGGGGCTTTTAATGAAACATCCGGGGCTTCAGCCCAAGTAGCCGGGCCTAACGCCGCCCCTGGTCCTGTGATTCTCCTCTTACCAAAAATTATGTTCATAGATACAGAAACAAAGAGAAGCTTTACAGAACAGGAGCTAAGACAATTCTAGATGAAGTAGAAGCACACTAACATGAAATCAATGTCTGCTCAATTTGTTGATTCATTTGTTTTTGGTTTAATGGAGTGAAACCAGATTGCAGTTTGCTCCAACCCTTTAGGCACTCAGCAGCAGCAAGACAGCAGAGGCTTTAATAACCTTCAAGAGGTAGACCAAGGGGAGGGGAAGCGATTTTCATTAGTTAGCTTACAGAACACAGTTTTAAAAGTATGGTATCTGTAACTTCTGTTTTTATTTTTGAAAAACTGTTTAAATCTTAATTTTTACCTTCAAGATAAAACAGCAAGGGAAGTGGTGTGGCTCCACACAAATGCAGCTCTGCTCCTGCTCTGCTCCTCAGGTGGAGGGAAGGTGGAAATCAAGTCAGAGAAGATGGATCTGAAAGATGTTCAATCTAAAGTTGGGTCTCTGGAGAACGTAACTCATGTGCCAGGGGGAGGAAACAAAAAGGTACATGCTGAGAAAAAGCTTTTGACCCACAGATTACACCGTAAAGCATGCTACAAATATGTTAATGACATGCTGATAATGTCATATGACAGAACATATGGACCTGTAGATGACTCATTCACATGCTTACACCATGCACTTTAAACAAACTCAGCTGCAACAAATGAACATTGAATCTTTGCTACTTTAACTTAACATGGTAACGACCTTTGACCTTCCTCCTTAAAATTAATAAAGTAAGTTTAAACAGATTATTTTATCTAAGCCACATTAAATAAAGGAAATAGGGCAGCTACAGGTGCATCTCTGGTAAGCTTGTTTAATATTTCTGTGACTAAACAGATTTGCTGGTTTTTAATCCAACATTGTTTATTTACAGATTGAGAGCCACAAACTAATGTTCAGAGAAACCGCCAAAGCTCGAACCGACCATGGTGCTGATATCATCGTCCAGGCTGACTCCTCCCCCCACCACCTTAGCAACGCTTCCTCCCATGGAAGCCTTAATGCTGCTGAAGCTCCTCCTCTTGACACCTTGGCCGATCAGGTGAATAACTCCCCCACTAAAGTTACAAATCAAAACAGCTCCCTTTGTTAACTGATCTCCTTCTATCAGGTGTCTGCGTCCCTTGCCAAACAAGGCCTGTGATTGGACAAACTCTGAGCCTGCAGACTCTGCCACTATCCCCATTTCCAAGGAAACTGTTTAATGGAAGAAGAAAAAAACCATTATCCTGGTTTTTAATTTATATTCTCGTCAGAAATCCCAGTGCTGGTTGGGGAGATTTTATGACTGTGCAAACAGCAGGTGAGCCTATTCAGGCAATCCAAGGTTAGAAAACAATCCTCAGTTGGACTCGGGCCTTCCTGCTTAGCTCACTCAAAGCTGACTGGAATTCCTGGGGATGTTTTATGTTTGATCCGGTAAACTTCAGTTCTGATTATGGAATGTTTGTTGAAATTCTAAAAAACCTTTTTAATCAGTAGCTGAACTTACATTTGCCATCTTGTAATTTTTTTTCCTTTTGAACTAATCTAGGTACTGTGATCAAATAGCTCTTGTTGGCATGGAAACAAAAAATGTAAAACTGTTTCAGAACTGCAGCTTAATTTTTTTAAATGATTATTTAAAATACAAAATGCATCTCTGTGTTTATGAGGAGAGGGCTCCACATAAATCTCTGAGGTTTGTGTTTTCTCAGGTGATTCCTTCAGGTCATGACACTCTGAACTAAGGCGAACACAGAGTCCATTTTAACTTCTTGCTAACCTAGACAAGCTGCTCATAAAATCCCTCCAATCACAGAAAGCCTAAGTTTGATGTGAACTTTCTCAGCCAATCACCATGTGCTATTGGTCCTGCTATTACCCGTGTGTCACATTAGAACTGGGTTGAGTTCCAACGTTCCTCCCAGACGGTTTGTGAACAAGCAGTTGTCAACATGCAACATGATTGTCTTATGGGCCATTCCCATCTGTACCGGGTCGGTCCGGGCCGGGTAGCCCCAGTCGGCCCCAGCCTGGCCCGGTTGATTCCACACATCCTTGTCTTAAGCCTATGTGGGCTGATTCTACCCACCAATCAGAGGCTTGCTCTAATGGAAGGTGTGAATTTGCTGTCAGCAGTGGGTGTGTTGGCCCTGGTCGGCCTGAAGCAGACCCCCTCGAGAAGAGGGCTGAGAATGAGCCTTGGTTGGCCCGGAAAAATACCAGGCCACCCAGATATGTAAACAACCTACGCTACCCGGCCTGGGCCGACCCGGTCAGATGGGAATGGCCCATTTTTCTCTAAATAAGATTTTGGCTTCTGTTCAAAATACACACACAAAAAAACTGCAACATTTGAAAAAAAAATGAATTTTAACAATAATATGCATAGAAAAAATGTTTATGCAAAAAAGTCTAATTAAATAAGGCAAGTTTGTAAATTTATTGAATCATTTAAACGAACAAAAAAAAATTTTAGGCTCAAAACTTGAAAATCTCTAATTGGGACAAAATTTCCATAAATAAGCGGTGGGTTAGAGGGAAGAGCTGTTGTCTGGTCAGCGTGACTCACGTCGGGTAATAACAGGCCCCTTCCTCTCATGATCCAGAATGCTGCTTGATACTTGGTGCCGCTCTGTCTCTGCCTGTTAAAAGTTATCTGTATCAATAAAGTTTCTTTCTGCTCCAACATGTTTCATCATTGCTGTCAATTCTCCCCATCACTGAGTCAGACGAAGGTTTCCAGCCTGACAAACCAGATAAATAAATATATTTTTTAGTCTGGCAACGCTCCATTGACTGTTCTCGGTCATGGGGCGGGTTCTACCGTTGTCTTTCAATCTTCGCATGCTACAACGTGACATACTCACCACAGTGGATGTCGGTCAATGAGGCAGTCTGCTGTTGAAGAAGAAGAAAAGATCTTTTCTATAGCGCCTCTCAAGATAAAAATCACGAGGCACTTCACAAAATCAAAAAATATAGATAAGAATTTAGAAAATGATTAAAAATATATTTAAAATGAGCAAAAAATAGACAATTGTGATTAAAAATGTAAAGAAAGAGAGTGAATAGGAAAGAGGGAAATCAGTGGATCCTGAGGAAGGTGGAATAGGTGGGGAGAGCAGAACAAGGAGAGGGTGATGAAGGGCACACAAAAGCCAGCCTGAACAAGTGAGTCTTCAGCTGCTTTTTAAAGGAGACCACCGAGTCCACTGATCTCAGGCTCAGGGGGAGAGAGTTCCAGAGTCTGGGGGCCACAGCAGCAAATGACCTGTCACCTTTGGTCTTTAGCCTGGTGCGCTGCACAACCAGTAGGCTTTGATCACTGGACCTCAGGGACCTGCTGGGTGTGTAGGGACTAAGAAGATCACCAATGTAAGACGGTGCTTGTCCATGTAAGGCCCTATAGACCAGAACCAGGATCTTGAAATGAACCCTGAAGTTGACTGGCAGCCAGTGAAGCTGGAGGAGAAGCGGGTTGATGTGGGTGTGTTTGGAGGGCTTGGTCAGAAGCCGAGCACAGGCATTCTGAACCACCTGTAGACGGTTCAGGGAGGTTCTGCTCAGACACGTGAAAAGAGAGTTACAGTAGTCTAAGCGTGAGGAGATGAAGGTGTGGATAACTGTCTCAAGTTCAGAGTGGGACAGAATGGGACTCAGCTTAGCAATGTTACTGAGATGGAAGAAGGAAGAGCGAACAAGAAAACTGACATGAGAATCCAGGGTGAGAGCTGAGTCAAAGGTCACGCCAAGATTCCTGACAGAAGGTTTGGTGTGGGAAGCAAGCTGACCAAGAGTCTCTGACTTTGGGAACCAGTTGGTCTGGGGCACAGATGAGGATCTCAGTCTTATCTTCATTCAGCTGAAGAAAGCTCCCAGCCATCCAGGTTTTGATAGAGTCTAAGCAGGTGTGTAACAGCTGCAGCTTAGACATCTCATGGGGCTTAAAGGAGATGTACAGTTGGATGTCATCTGCATAAAGATGGTAGGAGATTCCTTTGAAGGAGCTCAGGATGTGCTGAAGAGGAAGCAGATAGAGGAGGAAGAGCAGAGGCCCCAGCACAGAACCTTGTGGGACACCATGGGTAAGAGAGGTGGTGGAGGACCTAAACTTGGAGACGGCCACAGAAAAGGAGTGCTCAGAGAGATAAGAGGAGGACCACTCCAGAGCAGATCCTGATAAGCCTACCCAGTCTCTCAGCCTCTCCAGTAGCAGGTGATGGTCAACAGTGTCAAAGGCTGCAGTCAGGTCCAGCAGGACCAGAACAGAACAGTCCCCTGCATCACTGTGAGTCAGAAGGTCATTAGAGACCCTAAGAAGAGCTGTTTCAGTAGAATGAGCTCTACAAAAACCTGACTGTAAGCTATCATAGATGTTATGTTCATCAAGAGCAGCTGTGAGTTGTTTAGCCACAACCTTTTCCAAGATCTTGGAGATGAACGGAAGTTTAGAGATGGGTCTGAAGCTGCTATGGAGAGAGGGGTCGAGACTCGATTTTTAAGAAGCGGGTGGATTACAGCGTTCTTAAAGTAAGGAGTAACCTAACCAGAGAAGAATTAATTATAGAGCACGCTGGGACCGATGGACTGAAAAGCACTTTTAAACAAAGATGAGGGTAAGATGTTGAGGTGGCATGCAGAGGTCTTCATAGAGTTAACTAGTTTGGTTAACTCAGGCAAAGAAACAGGAGCAAAGCTGTCTAGGATGATGGGTCGGGTTGGAGTCGGGAGAGGCAGAGATAACGCTGAGGGAGAGATGCTAGATCTGATCTGACCTTATTGACTTTGTCCACAAAGAAAGACAGAAAGTTCTCGCAGTCTGCAACAGAGTGGATGGAGGCTGTAGGAGAGGCAGGAGAGACGATGCTGCTGATGGTGTTGAACAGCACCTTAGGGTTCCCTTTGCTCTGGGACACCAGGTTGGAAAAATAGGAAACCCTGGCGTCTCTGACTGCAGAGTTAAAGGATGATAGAAAATCCTTTAGGTGCAGCAGATGGACGTGGAGATGGGTTTTCTTCCACAAGCACTCAATTTTTCTGCATTGGCGCTTCAGGCTGTGAAGGCTGTCATTAAACCAGGGAGTAGGGTTCACTGCAGGGACTGATCTGGTTCTGACAGGACAGGTGTTGTCCAGAATGGAGAGGCAGTGCTCGTTAAACTGAGAAGTTAAGGAATCTGGGTCTTTATCAGAAGAACAGGGTGGATCAAAAGCAGCAGAAAAATTGCTAGCTGTGCTCTCATTAAGAAAACGAGAACTAACCAGACGGCGAGCAGGAGGTGGGGACGCAGAAACTGACAAGTTAAAGAAAATGCAATGGTGATCTGAAATATAAACGTCCTCAGGACAAACACTGTCAGCATTTAGACTCGGGGTAAAAACAAGGTCTAGAGTGTGCCCCCTGGTGTGTGTGGGGCCAGAAACATGCTGGGTAAAGCTGAAGGAGTCAATAAGGCTGGAGAAATCCATGGCAAAGAGATCGGAGGGATCATCAACGTGGATGTTAAAGTCACCAACAATCACCAGTCTGGACAGCTTCACAGTGACTGAAAGTCACTAAATCCTGAAGGAAAGAACTGTTTGGACCAGGTGGACGATAGACCACAGCACAGTAGAACGGGTCCTTACGCCCAACTTTAATCAGCTGCAGTTCAAAGGAAGCAAAGTGACCAGAGGTTGTAGAGCTACGATGGTCTCTGAAAACAACAGCTAGGCCTCCACCATGACCAGAACCCCGGGGCTGGCTAAAAGAATAACCACTCAGGCAAAGTTCAGTCAAACCAGAGTAATCAGATGTTTGCTGCCAAACTTCAGTCAGAAACAGAAAATCCAGGTTTTTAGAGAGAATTAGATCATTGAGCAGGAAGGACTTATTGTTAACAGAGTGGATATTTAATAGTCATGCTGAGTGAGGTGGAGGAATCAGAAACTACAGAAACAGCTGGAGTTAGTGGACATAAATTAGCAGGGTTAGAAAAACCACTCATGGAGTGAACAGGAGGGGAAACCACTGAAGAATGAGGATAAACAGATCTCAAAAAACTTGGACAGAGAAACCGCTCCGCAACGCGGCCGAGCGGGAATGCGGAAGTGGCGCTCAGGTCGTCAAACAAATGAAAAGAAGCTAGAAGATCATGTTGATGCTTACTTAATAAACCACACTTTAAGAGAAGTCTTATTATCGCCTGGATTCCTGCTCATTTACCTCTTTTCCTCCGACGTTTTCCCGGGACCGGATAAACATAGCTGGAGGCGCCCTGGTAGGAATCGTTGTTTGGCTCCGGGCCAGCGTGCCGCTCAGGTAAACAAAGAGGGAGGTACTTCCTCGGTGCATCTTGGGCGATCGTGAACGAATGGAAGGATAAGAGTCTGGTGATCATAGGAGATGGTAGCAGGGACACTACCGAAGAGGATAGCAGACAGGAGCAGGTGGAAAAGAGGTTAGTGGAGAAAAGTTTGAATAAGTGGTCGGTGATGGTGGCTAAGCCAAGTACAGGCGCCATCTTGTTGCGGACCAGCACCAAAGCAGGGGCTTTTCATGGAAGAACGCAAAAATACATCCTTTTTCTAAATAAAAAGACTTAAATACATCTATTTGCTCCCGATTCTAATAAAAACCCAAGTCCAAATTGGCCTAAATTCATGTAAGTCATCTCACACGAGCTGTTGCCATCTTGTTCCACTCTGTCATATCATCTCACTTACCAGATTTAAAGGGCCCTGATTGGTCCACAAAGCCGATAAGAGTGCTGTGATTGGCCCATTGTAGACCAATCAAAGCAATCTATCCACTTTGTGGGCCAATCACAATGCTCAATCAGTTTGAAACTTCTATAGAGAGCTTTGATTGGCTAGCCAGAACGCTGCTAGGGGCTGCGGGGTTCCAATGGAGCGTTTCGAGACCAATCTTTTCAAAGCATGAACTTGGTCTAGTTCACTAGGCTAGAACGTTTCATCAGCGGAACTGGAATAAACTAAACGTCCCAAGGACTTGATTACCCAAGTTTGTTCTGGTTCTGAACAAAAAGTAGCATACAGGATAATAATACAGGATGGAGAACTGAGACCTAGTCCTCATCCCATTCATTTTTCTTTTCCAGCAGCCAGATTTTTGTACTCCATTAAGATGGTCTAGATAAAGATGCTTTACTGTCAGTGCACATCTCCTTAAAAAGTCCCAACATTCCCATATAGATGCACTCTTCCCTCAAGCTTAGCTCTATTTACATAACTTGCACTACTGGCCCTTTCCCACTGGCACCTACTCAACACGGCTCGACTCTACACAGTTCGGGTGACTGGAGTTGGAAAAGTAGCATGAGGTGATCTGTACACAACACTAAAGTGACGCAAGGTAATCTGGACGATTAGTGAAAATGAATGCAGCACTGGATGGAAATACAGTGGGGCAAGTCGTCAGTCTCCAATTCTTAAAAAAAATCAAAGTGATTTTCTGGATTTTTCCCCCTCATTGCGTATACCTATGATAAAAATTACTTCTCATCTTAAGTGGGAGAACTTGCACAATTGGAGGCTAACTGAATGCTTTGTTGTCCAACTGTAAAATCTTGTGACGCTGAAGAAGCTTATCAAAACAATGCCACAGCAAATTTGTGCTGTAATCAAAGTTAAAGGCAATCCAACAAAATATTAGTGACCTTTTCTTGGCCAGGCAGTGTACATTTGTCTGCTCCTATGACTTATAAGACATGACTCCAAAGCTGCACAGCTAATCATTTATCCATTCACACAGTCGCTTACCGAGTTACACTGTAATCACTGCTATCCTGAGGCACAGACAGAAGCTACGCTGCCATACACTGGCGCCACCAGTCCCTCCAACCACCGCCAGTAAGCAAGGAGGTGGAAATGTGTGGTGCGAACCTGTACCCTCCAGTGGGTGAGCACCCAACTCCTCTGCCACATCACATTTCTGTATCAGTCCGATTAGTACAATTGTGCCAATAAAAACAACAAATGTTTATTTTTGTGTCTGTTTGCGTATGTTTCAGGAGGTTGGCATATGGTATTTGTTTAGATGTGACTGTGATACATAATAGAATTGTGGGGGTGTTTAACAGAGGCAGAGAAGCTATTTAAGTGCTGTAGTTGTTATTACAGTGTTCAAAATTAAGCAAAATATATACAATACATTTTGGTAAATATCAGTTATTGGCTATAACAGCAGTTTTACTATTGGAAATTGGCCCAAATTTTAATATCGGTGCATCCCTGTAGTTTCCAGGTGTGACGCTGCTGTACCTGACAGGTTAAGGGCTGCTGTGATTGGTTGATGGTAAAAGGGAAACAGAGTAGTGGTCAAGTTTACGTATTTTATTGGTTTATTTCTGACAGAACAATAAAAAGAACATTAAAAGAAAAAACGGATGTGATGTCATAGGACAAAGTCAACAGGTGAACGGGTGGGGCTTAAGGTCAGCAGCAGTCTGTTTCAGCCGGTCTGGGGGTTATGTGAGAGGGATGAGTGAGCTAAACTCAACATCTTTTTCAGTTTGTTGCCTAGCAACAGCACTCCACCAATCAGTCAGAGAAATTAGCTCACACAGGAGGCGGGACTAACAGAGTAGAGGGAGCTAAAGAACATCATCGCTCTCAGCCGTGTGGAGCTGTGTGTCGTCAGCGTCCGTCATGATGCTGCTGTCCTGACTGTCATCCACCTCGGCTGCTAAGGAGACAAGTGAGACAAACAGAGAAGATTAGTTCATAACGTACTGATTTTCTTTAACCTAAACAATTAAAAACAAAGTGTAACGAAAGAATACCCCAGAAAAGCTCTATGCCCTCTGTTGTCTTGGCGGAGAATTGCTTCACAACACCGATGGAGAAGTATAAAAGGAAAACGTCCCCATCAATACGTGTGCATGTGAGCGCACACTTGCTGATGAAGTATGAACTAGCCTTGAGATGTTTTAATCCAATCGCCAGACACCTGAACCTCAGCTCAACGTCTAATGAAATTCACCTTTAACTGACATATTTGCATGTGATGACACGCTGCTCACGGGGCAGCCCCCTTCGCCTTGATGGATGGTACAGAAACTGTTTGCACAAGTTTAAATTCCTGTGAAGCTAGTCGAAACAAGACTGTTTGTAACCTTTTATCGCTTTTATTTAGTTGATTTCCCAGTAAAATGTATTAGCTTGTTGCGTGGCTGGCAGCACTAACAGACAAAGGTAAATGTAAACTTAAAAAATAACTTTGATGGAGACTGAAGGCAAAGAATCAAATGAACCAACAGCTTTTAAAGAACTTTTGCATTTGTAGTAGGGCTGGGCGATCCGGCCTAAAATCAATATCAGAACATGTTGAGGATTTCACCTCGATAACGATAAATGGACAATAACTACAGGATGATAACTACAGGTGTGCCCATAAACAAAAGTTGTCCACTAGATGGGGCTGTCACATGTATTATGTTGAGTCACATTTTTATGACTCAAGGTGGTACAGCTTCTTAAAGGTACATGAATGTTGCCAACTTACACACATCTTTTCGTTTTTTCTTATCTAATTTATTGACATGGGGAAAATGATCTCGATAAGAGTCCGAAATTTTGATAACGATAAATTTTCGATTTATTGCCGAGCCCTAATTTGCAGCCAATATGTTTTATTGGGTAAGAAAAGGTTCATCTATCTCATTAGGAAGATAGAGACAGACTGTGATGGACCTGAAATAATAAATGTGATGTGTTTATATAACTTATTCAGTATTGATAAACCTATATTTCACCATGGAGGACATGCAGTACCGTCCACTATAGTGAATTGCGAGATAATTATTTATTATAATTTTATTGTTCCATGTTGATGTTCCAATGAGATATCTTGTGTCGCAGCATGTGGGAGTAGCACCTGAACCCAGTGACCCAGCCAGGAATAAAAAAAGGATCCAGAGTTATTTTAATCAGCTCCAGTGTAAAATGAAACGCTGTTTATCACTTCATGTTATAAATCTAGCGAGATCAACTTGTTTACATCAATGAGGGAGAACATAAGCTAATGTTCCTAAACTAGCTAGCACTCCACTTTTATAATTACTGCTCTGTGTGCACCCCACCTAGGTGTGCCAAATCTTCCCTCGAGTGAACTGGGCTTGAACCAGTAGAAACCAGGCTAAACTGGGAAAAGACAACAACCTCATTTGCCACTTTTGCCCTCCTTTCAACATTCGTATAATTCACTGTGGATGTCCACTATGGTGATGATCAGGTGATGAAGCTGCAAAAGGTCAATAAGCAAATTCAGAAAACAGCTGGCTTGTTTCTTCTTAATAACAATTAACACAATTTCAGAACTGTATCCTGGGTTCCTACAGGTTTCTTCAATTTAAATTCAAGTCTCATTATGACCTCTTTGTTAGGTTAGTTCTGTTTTGGTTATCCAGTTCCATTATTTGGTCTTTTTCTGAACAGAGTAATAGGTAGATCTGTGTGGATCAATGATGACCCGTTGCACCCCTAGTTAGGTTGCTCATTTAAAACATGTAATGTGTTTTATCCTGCTGCTTAAAAAAATTGGGAACTGATAAGAACCAGAATTGAAACGATGAATTGGAATGGAAATTGTTCAAAATCAAACGATGCCCAACCCTGACCCCCGGTGAGAATACCTTCATCCTCAGGTAGGTATCTCTTATCAATGGCTTCTTTGATCTGGTTGTTGGCTCCTTTAGGATCCAGATCCATGGCCCAGCTGAAGTTCATCAGAGCCAGGTGGGTCTGACCCAGTTTCTTATACACCTAAAGAGCAAGTGTGGTGGGGAAAAGTGGAGCTTTAAGCAAGACGTATCAAGTTAACACTCAGACACAATGGCACATTCACATCTGGGTTAGCCCACCCCTGCATGGCCAGGCTTTGTTCACACAGCTTTCTCAGGAACACAGATGTCACAGGGCAAAAACACATGGAGAAGTCTGTGGTGTCCTCCTTAAACACTGGTGGCATAAGTATTGCTTTTGGAGACTCTGAGATGAACACAGCTTCCTACTCGTCTCACTCAGCAGGAAAGCTGCTGTGAGCTTCTCGAACATCAGTCTGACTTCGTGCTCCCGCGACTGGTCCCAGAGAAGAAGTTTACCCCAATGCATTCATACTGATGATGCACATGCGAGAAGCCACCCCCGACAGATTCTATCCGTCGACCAGAGGCTTCTTCTAGTTGGTAGGCATGACCTTACGCTGGCCACTCAGTCAGTTGTGGGTGTGCTGAGTCGGCTCAACACCAAGCTAGCTGCTGGACAGCAGGTCAGAAAAAACAAACAAACAAACAAAAAAGGTTGGCCGAGCACAGTAAACACAGATTACCCAGATGTGAACACAATGAACCTAGCAGGGCTAGACCGGGCCGACCCAAATGTGAACGTGCCGAAAGCTGGACAAGGTGGCACCCAGGACCTGTACTCGGATATGGGAGAGTCACATCATGGATGTGCAGCTGACAAATGGACCAGAAACTGAATAATTTTTCAAACACGTTTTTGAATCTATGTCAATGATAAATAAAGCTGTAATGAAGGCAAAGATGGTCCATCCCACTACTAAGGCCCTGTCCACACGTAGCCGGGATCTGCCAAAACGTAGATATTTTTCTACGTTTTGGCCTGTCATCCACACGAAAACGGAGTTTTTTTCACATGAAAACGGATCTTTTTAAAAACTCCGGCCAAAGAGAAGATCTGCGTTTTCTCCGTTTTGGGTGTCT